GTAGATTCCAAAAGACTTAATTTTACCATGTGTTTCTAGTCCCAGTCAACAAAGCTTGCTGAAGGGAGAAAGGAAGAAAAGAATTAAAATAAGTGCTGGGGATTGTTAGTGTCTCAGTATCTGTACCACCTATGTCTACAATTGCTGTGAATGAGCAGGAGCTATTCTTCCTGGGAAATTTAGAAGTGAACATGTACCCAAAAGCCCTTGGGGCTTCCCTTTCACCTCTTGCCGATAAGTCTCCAGACCTATGCTTTAAAGCAGACTTTGCAGAGGCTGCTGTGTCCTTGTCTTCTGAGCTGTAAATTCACCTATGCTTGGCCTTTCTGTGGAATAAAAGGAAGACCTGGTGCTCTGGGACACTCATACGAGTGGTTTGGCATCGTGAGGCAATTGCCTCTTCCTTTGTAAGAACTCAAATGGGTCAAGTCTAAGTTTTCAAAGAAATATTTCTTCTTGACCGGGCGCGGTGGCTCAAGCCTGTAATCCCAGCACTTTGGGAGGCCAAGGCGGGTGGATCACGAGGTCAAGAGATCGAGACCATCCTGGTCAACATGGTGAAACCCCGTCTCTACTAAAAATACAAAACATTAGCTGGGCATGGTGGCGCGTGCCTGTAATCCCAGCTACTCAGGAGGCTGAGGCAGGAGAATTGCCTGAACCCAGGAGGCGGAGGTTGCAGTGAGCCAAGATCATGCCATTGCACTCCAGCCTGGGTAACAAGAGCGAAACTCCGTCTCAAAAAATATATATATATATTTCTTCTTTTGGACATTTTAATGATAATTCACAATAAATTGTTACTTGTTTTATTTAGCACAAGGATTGGGAAAGCCACATTTATAGGACACACACTGTGTGCCAAGTATTATCCCAGATGCTGTACATTATTTTCTCCTTTCAGCCTTGTCTCATTTTACAGATGAGAAAGCTGAGCCTCGGCTAAGGTAGCCAAGCTGAGTTACACAGTTCATGTGTAATCCAGCAAGATCTAAGTCAGGGTCTGTGCGTCCCTGGGGTCTCGCTCTTGCCCACAGTCCTTGGGCAGCAGCAGAGGTTGGGGACTGGGGCCACTGTGAGTGGGATGGTGGTACCTCCCTTCTATAATCCAGTGAATCAAAAGCCTTGTTAGAATGTGGATGATTTTAAAGCTATATAGCTATTAATTTCCCAACAGAAGCTTTGAGAGATTAAGTAGTTTACCCAAAGTCACCCAGCTAGAGGTACCATAAATCTTAGAATATTAAAATCAATACTTATAATGTTACCAGTAGCGGATGTCCAGGTTCTTGGCAATCTGAACAAGGAATTGGACAAAATACACAAAGCAAGGAAAGAATGAGGCAACAAAAGCAAAAATTTACTGAAAGCAAAAGTACACTTCACAGGGTGGAACCAGCAAGCATAGGGGCTCAAGAGCTGCATTATAGAATTTTCTGGGTTTAAATACCCTCTAGAGGTTTCCCATTGGTTACTTGGCATACACCATATGGAAATGAAGTAGTGGCCCACAGTCAGGGGCTGACGTAAAGTTCCAAACTCAGACTCTTATGGTTTGGTTGCTTTCTACCATCAATCAGAGATACTTTCAGTTTCCCATCTGCCACACCAAGTGGTGGGGGGTTTTACACAGGGAGTAGCCTCCATTTTTTTTGTTGTTGTTGTTACCTAGGTGTGGAGAGTTGGGGTTTTCCTTCTGATTTAGTTCTAGGAAGTCAGCGTGAATCAGCCTTATGTTCCCTGCCTCCAGACTCTATTCTGCCTCAATAACACCTTAAGTATGTGAATCGAATGGCTCTGTGACAATTTAGACAGAGTGATCTGTACTTTCTGAGATCTTAGACGAAAAACTTATTTTAAAATCTAATAATTTTACAGTGTCAGTACAATGATGTGACACTGTCTGGACATGGGAAAGAAGAAATTTTAAAAAACGATCCCCATCCTGGGCCTCATTGCCATTCAAGTTATGTGCTTTTATTTTTCCATCTCCTTTTAATAACTTTTCATATTTAAGCACATGCTTCATGTAACTGTAGTTTCGGCGAAGACACAGTGGTAGTTCCTCGTGACTTGATTTACCATGATATTATTTTCCAGTGCTGTTACTTTTTCTTTATGATACCCATCATATTGATAAACTACAGTTCTCTTAACCTTCAGTTGATTTCTGAGTTTTTTCCTCTTCTCTCTGTCTCTGCTCACCACCTTCCATGTTGTGACTCAACATTACCCCTGGTTATGTTAAGGATGGTGATCTGAAATTGACCAGATGAAATTGACCTGAAACATAAAAGAGCAATTTGGGCTTTTTTAAAATGAGGTAGTCATTGTTGAGGATAGGGGGTACCCTTCTCACTTTAAAAAATATGAAACATACTCTCCTTTGTCCCACTGTTCGTTTCTGCTGAGCAGTAAACTGTAACTCCTTGGCACACCTTTTACAGCTGCTAACATTTGATAATCCACTGCTCCCTGTGTTAACTGGCATACTGTTAGCGGAAAAAGCAGTGTATTCTGGTTGCCTAGACTACACCTTAACAGTGTGCTTTATGTATTAGGTCTGAGCTGGCAGCACTTAAAAATAAATCAGTCAGGTCAAGGCAAACATTAATCCTTGCTTCCAGAGCTTGTCCTTGTTTTTTTTTTGTTTTGTTTTGTTTTGTTTTGTTTTGTTTTGTTTTTAGTTAATGAGCTAGAGCAGGAGCAATAGAATGTTCTTATTTTAGAGCCTCACATGAATATATAGATTAAAGGGGGCTATTTTCTGACCAAGTGGGTGGTCAAAGTATTGAAGCCCCACACATGATGGAGAATCACATTTTCTATCCAGCTGGTCTTAGGTTGGCTCACAGACCCAAGCTCTTCTGCTGATTCCCTCCTCCCTGCAGTGGATTCTAGGGTAGCTAGTGGGTATCATTGAAAGAGTTTGACTTCTGCTCTCAGGAAATTGATGGAGACCTATTTCTGAAGCACTGTGCTGGGGATCTAGGAAGATAAAGAAGGTATGGGGCTGGTGTCTGCCTTCCGGGCTTGTGATCCAGTTGGGAGACGGGGAAACTTCAAAAGGTTACAAATCCGGGTACACGAGTTCAGTAGGGCTGATAGAAGGTTCCTGTGGAGGGAGAGGCAGGGGGACTTTGTATGTAGGTTGATAGAGGCTTTCAAGTTTGGGTTCATTCACTCATTCAACAAGAATTTATTGAGCTGGGAATGCGGTAATGAGCAGGTGCCTGCTTTCCTAAAATTTACACTTTAGAAGAAGGCAGATGGTAAATGTGATAATTTCAGAGAGCAGGATGAAGCTAAAAGAAAATCTGGAGAGAGAGCTCTTCAGGCCTAGGGAATTGCAAGTGCCTAGCACAAGGCAGCAGGAGCCAGGAATAAGGGGTTCGAGCCAAGGCCCTCTCTTTCTCAGATCCCTGCTCCCACCTCTCCTCACCAGGGGGCCCTTTCCACACGCTTGCTTTCCCATGCCCTGTTGGTATTCATGTCCTGACTTTGTATTTTATGTTCATTTGTTCATTTATTTATGTTTTGCTGTCCCCAAATAGAATACAAACTGTGAGATCTGGTATTTGTTTTGTTTGCTGTATCTCAAGTGCCTAAAACAGTGCCTGGCACACAGCAAGCACTCACATGAATGGGTGAATGGAAGGCCCATGTGGTTGATCACCAGGAGAAGGGAGGGGAGCACAAGATTCAGGAAGCAGAGAAGCGGGTGGATGCAAAGGAGGGCATGCCAGGCACTCATGGGGCACTGTGCGAGGCCTCCACAGGGACAGTGGGAGGACCAGGTGCACAGGGGCACGTGGTCTCATCTAGAAAGCAAACCTAGGAGCCTTCAGTGGAAGTCAGAGAGAACATTCGTCCTCCAGTTTACATTCCAGTTGGGGACAGCAATAAGTAAGTAAGTAAGTAAGTAAATAAATAAATAAATAAATAACATTGATCCTTTCTTCTCTTTTTCTCTCCAAATTTGTTAGCACTTACTATGTTTCAGGCCCTGTTGGCACCAGAGATGCAAAAGAGGAATTAGGCATGGTGTGATATTTGACTCTGGGGAGAATAGCAGTAGATTCTAAAGATTTGAAAGGAGAGAATCAACACAGAAAAGAACTGAATCATTTGGACACAAACTTGCATGTGTGTTCCTAGCTTTTCCTGTTGCTTACAGCATTAATATTGACATCTGGTAATTTGCTTACAGATGATAGTTCTGGGAATTCATGTCTGAATCACTAATGCAGATTGATATGTATATATTTATAGAAGTGACACAATCAAATAATGACTGTCAAGGATTAATGTAGTAGTAAATAAGATCATGTAAACATGGAGAAGTTGATTCACAGGCATTTAATGAAAAAGCTACATAAGGATAATGGAAATACTGTACTTGTGCTTAGCATGGGAAGAATATACAGTTGACCCTTGAATGACATGGGTTTGAACTGCATGGGTCCACTTATATTCAGATTTTTTTTCAATAAAAGTTAAACTGAGTGTGCCTGCCTCTTCTTCCACCTCCTCCACCTCTTCTGCTGCTGCCACCCTTGAGGCAGCAAGATCAACCCCTCCTCCTCCTCCTCCTCCTCCTCCTCCTCCTCCTCCTCCCCAGCCTACTCAACATGAAGACAAAGAGAACGAAGACCCCCTTTGTGATGATCCACTTCCGCTTAATGAATAACAAATGTATTTTCTCTTCCTTATAATTTCCGTAATGACATTTTCTTTTCTCTGATTTACAGTAAATAATACATATAACACATAAAATATGTTAAATGACTTTATGTTATCATTAAGGCTTCTGGTCAACAGTAGGCTATTAACTTTTGGGGGAGCCAAAAATTATATGTGGATTTTCAGCTGTGTGGGGAGTCAGCACCCTTAACCTCCACATTGTCCAAGGGTCAGCTGTATTTGTATGTGTGTCAGCCTCTGTGACTGGCCTTGGCAAGAAGAGAGGGTATCACATTTTCTCATTTCTTTCCTCTCAGGAATAATTCCAGCTGATGGGAAGAAGACTGTCACTGTTACGTTTACACCCTTTCAGTATGGGACTGCACAAATCAAAATGCAGTTATGGATTTCACAGTTCAACTCTCAACCGTACGAATGTGTCTTCACCGGAACATGCTATCCCAACATGGCCTTACCGTATGGCGTCTTTGCAGTGTTTTTGTTTATCCGTACCCTTTTTTCAAAATCCAAGTGTTCTTTTCTTCCATTCTGTCTTCCTTATAACAGAATGTCATCAAAAACTTATTTAAAATGATGAGCCGACATAAAATATACTTTAAAACATAACAGAAATATAGAACCAAAAACTTATTTTAAATGATGAGCCGACATAAAATATACTTTAAAACATAACAGAAATATAGAACCAAAAACTTATCTTAAATGATGAGCCGACATATAATATACTTTAAAACATAACAGAAATATAGAACATGTCTATGCTGGTAGCAGGAGTTGCTTCTGACAAGAAGGGAAGAAGTAAGAAAAAGGGATGTTTGAGGGACACGTTTTTCCACTGATTCCTACTGGTGCACCCTTGGAATTTTTTACCACATACATGTCTTATTGCCCGTTCCAAGATTTAAACAATAGGGCTAGAACAACATAACTGTTTTTAAGGTTTCCATATAGTCCCTGCCGTGTGCAATGTCCACTGCAAAGCTCAGTGGAAAATGGACCGCAACCTCAAGAGACCAAAATAAATCGTGTAACAAGTGACTTCACATGAGGCAGAGACAGAAATGTGCCACACACAGAGGGTTTTCAAAGCACCGTCAGACTTCATATCAGAGTGAAGATGTGGAATGAGATTAACTTGTACTTCATAACAAATCCTTTCTGAACTTCCATTTCCATTTGAATATGAGCTTGTACTTTTACATCCCAGTGCCTCTGGTTAACATCGTGGTTTTTTCTTATCCCCAGGATTTTTATAAAAGTTAAAAGTTGCTGGGTGTAGTGACTCACGCCTGTAATCCCAGCACTTTGGGAGGCTGAAGTGGGCAGATCACCCCTGGTCAGGCTTTCAAGACCAGCCTGGCCAACATGGTGAAACCCCATCTCTACTGAAAATACAGAAATTAGCCAAGCATGGTGGCATGTGCCTGTAGTCCCAGCTAATCGGGAGGCTGAAGCAGGAGAATCGCTTGAACCTAGGAGGTGGAGGCTGCAGTGAGCCGAGATCGGCACCATTGCACTCCAGCCTGGGCGACAGAGCGAGACTTCATATCAAAAAAAGAAGTTGTCACAGTGTAAATATCAATCTTAGAAGATTCTGACAATGATTTTGAAAATGATAGGGAAATATCTTGGTTTTCTTCCTCTTTGCACATGGATACATGTCACATATTAACATCATTAAGCGTATTATAAGTGGAGTAGCAACCTTATACCAAAATATGAAATCACTCCATGATATCGTATATATTTATATCATGATTTTCTTCACAAAAATTCAAAGCAGCCTAAATCAATTGTAGGATATTAGTGTGGCCTGCTGGTCCCAAATCCTGCAAATAACCATCATTGAAATAAAATTGCTCAGGCAACAAACAAGTAGAACTGAATACGAATTTTTAAACTGCTGATTTTTCTGCTGGCCAGGTGAGCAAAATGCTTTTGTCATTTCACATCAGGTGCAACAATACTCAAATGACTTTCTTAAAGCCATCACATGAGTGGGATTTTTTTTTTTTATATATCCTTTCATAACTGTGTGGGGTTTTTGTTTGTTTGTTTGTTTCGTTTGTTTGAGACGGAGTTTCGCTCATGTTGCCCAGGCTGGAATACAACAGTGCAATCTCGGCTCACTGCAACCTCCACCTCCCAGGTTCAAGTGATTCTCCTGCCTTAGCCTCCCAAGTAGCTGGGATTACAGGTGCCTCCTGCCAACAAACCCACCTAGTTTTTTTGCATTCTTAGAGATGGGGTTTCTCCACATTGGTCAGGTTGATCTCGAACTCCCAACCTCATGTGATCTCCCCACCTCAGCCTTCCAAAGTGCTTGGATTACAGGTATGAGCTGCTGCGCCCGGCTCCCATAGCTGTGTTTTTACATGTACGACAGCATTGTATGACAGAAGCACCATACAAATGCAGGCGTACGCTACTTCTAATTATTATGTTAATAGCTTGATTCGTATACTCTTGACATTTTCAAGGACTATGTTTTAAGATCTGCATGTCTCTCCGAGCTGCAAATAATATTATAACATATAAATTCTACCATGAAGGGAAAAAAACTGTCTGTAGTTTCTCAACAGGGAAAAATACTGGCTGTAGCGTTCTCTGACATTGTCATAGATTGCTTTCTTCATTTCACTGTCGGGTGTGTGATAGACTTACTCTTGTCTAAATTTGACGCTGCCAAATTCCAGATGTAATTCGTTTATCATTTTCTTAAACCTCTTCATTTCCATCATCAACGTTGAGGATGTTCTTTAGGAGGCTGCTTTTTAACATCCCCAGGTTTTGTTGCTCCCCGGTATTTAACAGCAGAGGTGGTGTCAAAGCTCCACTGAGACGGGGATGCTGAACTGCAGTTCACTACCTGGCTAAGCACCTCACCCTGAACATCAGAGCATGTCGGTGGGTGTGAGTCTCACCAAGGGACAGGTTCTCCCATGCCCTGGATTATAAGGATGCTGTTACATGAGAGACATTAAATTTGAGGTTGCTAACATACGTTCCATATAATGCAACAGGCCTATTCAGTGGGTGCTCAGCAAATGCATATTAACTGTCAGAGTGAGTAAATGTTCACCTATTTTTTTCTTATTTTTATAAGGTCATGGAAAACAAGAGTTTATCCTATAAAACAATTGTCCACACATCCTTGCTTAAAGAAATGCTTGATATGTAACATCAGTTTTACCTAAACTATTATGCCAAATTGGTACTGAACAAATACATTTTTAAATGGTGATTTTCAAAATCGTAACTTTGCCTTGTGTTGCAGAAAAATAGAACTATTAAGATAAAAATAATTTCTAAAAACGAAATGCTTCATAAGTAGCATTTCTGAATAGAACATAGTTCTACTGCACCTCATAATAGATCATCTGAATACCTTCTGTGGGCTGTTAGCTGCAGTGTCTCTCACTACCCACATCCAAAGTCAGTTTCTAGTGACAGAAGAGATCCCAAACCTTAGTCTGAATCTCTTTTTGAAACATCTTGCTACAAACAATTGGTATAATCATTCTTTTACTAGGAAGATAAATCAAGGTAAGGTTTTTTTAAAGTGCAATAACTCTAGCTATTGAAAAACCAACAGGCTAGAAATGGATTATGCTAGACCATGAGACCATTTTCAGCATGTCATGTTTTCAGTCATTATGTTCTTTAAGAATGTAAGGCAAAACAACCATTGGTGGGCTATTTTGATAGCTCTGATTATACTCTAATACAGTGACATCACATTTATTTTAGTAGACCACTGTTGAGGTACATATTTATTTTCAGTTTAGATATAATAAGGGACTTCAAGTTGTGGTGTTATCAAAAGGAATATAAAAAATTAAGGACCCAGTGGCTCACACCTGTAATTCCAGCACTTTGGGAGGCCAAGGCAGGCAGGTCATGAGGTCAAGAGATGGAGACCATCCTGGCCAACACGGTGAAACCCCGTCTCTACTAAAAATACAAAAAAAAAATTAGCCAGGCGTGGTGGCACACGCCTGTGGTCCCAGCTACTCGGGAGACTGAGGTGGAAGAATCGCTTGAACCCAGGAGGTGGAGGTTGCAGTGAGCCAAGATTGGGCCATTGCACTCCAGCCTGGTGACAGAGCAAGAGTCCGTCTCAAAAACAAAAAAAAAAAAATTAGGGACCTTGAGATAATGACTTATTTACTAATTTAACATTTGTTTTAACCTATAGATTAGAAGAGTTTGAAAGGTTGAATACTCTTTCTAAAAAAATAAACGTTCCTCCAGAAAAAGCAATGCCGCATATATATTTTCACCGACGACCGCCAGTGAAGCCGAAGCTTCAGAAGGTGAAGGTACGGCGGGCCTTGTCCTCAGTGTGATGAAGGGGTGACAGAGAGCAGAGTAACTGACTTCCCTATTGATTTGGTCTCTTAGGAAATTGAGTACCAGAACCTGAGATTTCCAGTAGATTTATCGAATCCGTTTGCCGTGGCAACTGTTTTAAACCAAGAACCAGGAAAACTGAAGATTAAAGAATTAAGAGAAGGTAACCAGTTGGCTGGCCATAAAGCAGCCCCTGAGCAGAATATGAAAGAGTTATTGCTTGTCCCATTGCTTACCTACAAACAACAAAATTCAGTTAGACTGCCCTTATGCCTCAACATTAGAAATGTGTTTTTCTCTCTGCAAATGCCTCCAATTTGATTACTGGTATAAACATTGTCTGCTCCTGCCTTCAGTTTTGGATCAAGGCACTGAAATTTCAAAAACAAGACAGATGAAGGAGGCACTCTTTGAACAGAAAGTCAGACAGGACATTCATGAAGAGATGGAAAATCATCTTAAGTGGTAAATATTGAGCAATTATTTGTATCAAGTGGCAGTACAGTTGTTCTTAGATGATATTTTATAAATGAGAGACAGTGAAATGTAATAACCTTTTAGGTACTTTGGAGAATTTGATGATTGTTTCTCTGCCAGTGGTCCTTCTATTTCAGTAGGAAATTTCTGTTACGAATAAATACATGTGACCAAACCACGCTCTTTCCTAAATGTGACCAGACAGCAGCAGAACCCGAGTAAATTGTGGGAGATGCTCCCTGGTCCTGCTGGTTGCTGCTGCCAGCACCCCCTCACCCCAGGACAGATCTGGGTGGCTTGGGCACCCCAAATCTCACCCTCATCACCCTCCACCTTCCCAGGAGCCCCTGTGCCTTGGGCTGTGTGCCCCAGACGCCTTCTTGGTAGCCCAGTAGGGTAAGGCTCTGGGGGCTCCTATTGGAGGTTTTAAAAGTCAGATGTGAGAAGTCTTGTGCTTCTCTGCCCAAATTAGAACATTTTTCCAATTTTTTTTAGCAGATCAGACCAAGCTTATGCATATGTACAGATTTAGCTGAAAAGTAAACTCTTTTTTTTTTTTGAAAAACGGTGTCACTCTGTCAACCCAGCTGGAGTGCACTGTCACATCATGGCCAGCTGCAGCCCCAGCCTCCCAGCCTCAAGTAATCCTCCCACTTCAGCCTCCTTGGTAGCTGGGAGTACAGGTGCATGCTACCATGCCTGGCTAATTTTTTTTTTTTAGACATAGGGTCTCACTATGTTGTCCAGGTGGGACCCAAACCCCTGGGCTCAAGTGATCCTCCTGTCTTGACCTCTCAAAGTGCTGAGATTACAGTTATGAGCCACTGTGCCTGACCTAAAGTAAACTGGGCTAAAAAAAAAAAAAAAAAAAGACTCTTGGAGAGTTCATTGAGAGGCTGCCTACTCCAGGACCCAGCCTCAACCCTTCCCGATGCATGAGAGCATGCCCTCAGCTGGAGCCCTCTGAAGTTGCCCACTGGGTTCTCCCCTATCTCCAGGGGAATGGCCCTTGTTTCCATCAGAAGTCCCTTCTGCTTCAGCTTAAGTCTATAGATATGGCCCCTCCTCAGTTAATGGGAAGTACTCCAGGGAACTGAAAATCTTATTTTTAAAAATACCCTGTCCTTATTATGAAAAACAGGTAGGTCATCATTGTAGGAAACTTGAAAACATGGGGTTTTTTTTTTTACACATAGAGAAGGAAAAAAATCACAGTGATGCCATGACTCAGCAATGATCAGTGACCACTGTCAACACTGGTGTGTTCTTTTCTATGCATCTCTGTATCAGACTTGAAAAAGTAGTCTAGTTCTTCAACACAGCATCCCAAATCCTATTCTGAATGTTATGTTGTTCCTTAAATATTTTTCCCAACTTTTTATGTTGAAAGATCTTAAACCCACATACACTTGACCTCGGTTCACTAATTGTTCACATTAAGACTCATGCACTTCCCCTACTCCTCATACATGCACACGTACACCCACATGCACCTTTTCCCCCCTGAGCCATTTACAAATAAATTGCAGACATCGGGCAGCTTCACCCTAAAATACTTCAGCATGTAGCTACTGAGAGCAAAGACATTCTCCAACATTACTATAATCACTTCCAATGGATTTCACACTGATACAATAATATTATCTAATAATCAGTCTATAGGCAAATTTAGCTAGTTGTTCCAAAATGTACTTTCTACCTGGTTTTTTAAAAATATTTACTTTAAATATTTAAAGTATTTTAAATATTTATTTTAAATTTTATATAAATAAAATAGAGACAGGGTTTCACCATGTTGCCCAGGCTGGTCTCAAACTCCGGGCCTCAAGCGATCCACCACCCCTGGCCTCCAAATTTCTGGGATTACAGGCATGAGCCACCAAGCCCAGCCTATACCTGGTTTGTTTTTGTTTTTGTTTCTGTTTTTGGAGAGAGGTATCTAGGGTCCAAAGATCATACCATTTGTATCTAGTTTTCATGTCCCTTTAGTCTCCTCTAACCTAAAACAGTTCTCCAGAACATCCCTCCACCTCCACTTTAAAAATCATAACCGTAACTATTATTTATTTAAGACATGTGCTGGGTCTTGTGGTGAATACATTGCATATTAGTTTCTTTAAATTGTGATAGAATTCATCATTGTAACCAGTTTAAAGTATATAGTGCAGAGGTTTTTTAGCAAATCCACAGTGTTGCATGACCACCACCACTACCCAATTCCAGAACACTGGCATCAGTAGAAAAAGAAACCCCATACCCATTATCAGTCACTCCCCATTCCCCAGTCCCTGGAGCTGCTGGCAACCACTAATCTACTTTCAGTCTCTATGGATTTGCCCACTCTGGACATTTCACATAAAGGGAATCACAGAATACATGGTCTTTTGTGACTGACTTCTTCCACTTAACATGTTTAAGATTCATCCACATCATAGCATATGTTAATACTGCATTCCTTTTTACAGCTGAATAATATCCCATTGAATGGATGTGAGACATTTTGCTTCTTCATTCATCTGTTAGTGGATATTTCAGTAGTTCCCACTTTTTGACTATTGTGAATAATGCTGCTATGAACATTTATATGCACTTTTCTATGTGACCATATCTTTTCAGTTCTCTTAGGTATATATCTAGGAGAGGAATTGCTGGGTCATATGGTAACTCTATGTTTAACTTTTTGTGGCACCACCAAACTGTTTTCTGTGGTGCCTGAACCGTTTTACGTTCCCACCAGCAACATCTGAGGGTTACGGTTTCTCCACTTGCTCCGCAATACCTGTTATTTTCCATTATTATTATCATCACCGTCATTGCCATCCCGATGGATGTAAAGGGGTGTATTGTTGTGGCTTTGATTTGTATTTCCCTAATGACTTAGGAGATTAAGCACCCAGATGTTGTTATTCATAAATATTTAAAGTAAGTTTCACTTTGTAGAACACATTATTCATCTTCACTACGTTGCTGAAGCCTCTGTAACTTCTCTCTCCCATGTGTTCTCTCTCTAGCATCTCAGTGTTCCTTTTCGGTTGTGGAATATAGTGAAGATGTTCTATCCTAACATTGACTCTGATGTTCTGATGGGTTCTGGACACTGTTTTTTTTCTTCCCCAGGCAGGTGCACCTTGGTAAAGATCCTATGTCTTTTAAACTTAAAAAAGAGCTTACTGAGGAGTGGCAAAGAGCATGCGCCAAATATAAGGTCAGAGTTACTGCTAATTTGCTGTCTTTTGTTTCACTAGATGTTTTTAAATTCCTACTATATGCAAGATGCCAGGTGGAAGAAAACCCTCAGTTAAATTGGGAATGGGAAAGGCTGATGACAAGTAAATTGTCAACCATAAATCAAGACTGACTATAAATGTCACCAGAGACCTATACTAAGTATTGTAAGGCTTCAGAAGCTAGAAAGGAGAGAGAACTCATCTGATTGGAATGCTTCCTGGGAGACATCATATAAGTTTTTGAAAAGTAGCAAAGAGGACAAAGGCATTCACATGGAGGGAATGGCTCAAATTCGAGCTGGAATTTTGAATTGGGGTCCCCTGTGCCATGATCACCAGAGCATGAAAACAAAAGAGACCCAAAGTTGGTCACCAGGAGCCACATCAGAGACAGCTGCAAATGACAGTCCCAAGTCAGAGATCCTCAAAGGGGCTATGCAGAAAAAGGGAAACTGGGCTGAGGGGAGTGGGGCCACACCTGGGGTGCTACGGTAGCACCTGTAGGTTCAGGGATGTGAACTGTGGGACTGTGCAACATCCATGGTCTCACCATGCTTTGAATATGGTTGTTACCTACACAGCAGGTGCAGAGAACACTGAGGACAAGTCCATTGTGGCTAAAACACAGGATACACATGGGCCAGAGGAGACAGGAGTCGGCTGGTGCTCTGTGTCTGAACTTAATTGGTAGGACTTACAGAATGATCACATATTTATTAGTTGGCTCAGGCTGCCATAACAAAGTATCACACAGACTGTGTGACTTAAAACAACAGAAATTTATTTTCTCATAGATCCAAGATCCAGCATGGTAGATTCTTTTCGAGAGCAATGAGTGAAGGATCTGTTCCTGACGTCTCTCCTTGGCTCATCGTTGGCCACCTTCTCCTCACATCTTCATGTGGTCTTCCTCTGTGTCTGTCCTAATCTCCTCTGTTATAAGGACACCTGTCATACTGGATTAAGACCCACTCTAACAGCCTCATTTTAACTTGGTCACTTCTTTAAAGACTCCATTTCTAAATACCATCACATGCTGACTTCTGGGGGTTAAGGCTTCAACGTAAGAATTTTGAAGGAACACAATTCAACCCATAACACAGATATTTCAGCTAGGGAATGCAAGGTTCATGTAGACCGACTTCACAGCAGTGAGTGGGAGGGATTGAGGAAAAGTGTTTCTTGTTAGATATGAACATGTTTCTCATAGAGAATATACTTCTCTTTCTAGATTTGGAGTCCACCTAGATATTTAAATAAATTTAAATATTTTTTCTTATTTTTCTTCATTTTTCATAAGACAAACAAAAGAATATAAAATCATTACATTGGTAAATCTTGGCATATAAATTTAGTTCTCCCTGTTCAGATTCTTTGCATGCTTTCTTAAAAACAAAACATCAAGTATTTTCTGTCAACCCCACAATGCAATGCTGTTTTCTAACCTTTTTAAAGGTGAAGTTGGCACAGTCATCCCAGATCAGTCATTGTGGGCACTGAGGCTGTGGCTGCAGGCAGTGACAGCCAAGAAGCAGTCCCATCCTTAGCATGGCTCCTGGGGCAAGGAGGATGAGCAGGCAGCCCAGACACCCTGAAATATGGGAGACCAAGCATCTCAGGGACCCCATTCTGTGTATCCAGGGGATTTCATCTGAGAGCTGAGTCCTGGCAGGTGACCCAGTGGCAAGGAACTCCTGGAGGCCCCAGGCACATGGCAGAAACAAAGGGAAGAAATGGTTGGGGAAGGAGGGAGTTGGCCTCAGAGTGGCACAGCCCTCAAGGATGGTGTGCTTTTACTCATCACCAAATAAGCAATGTCTTCATAAAGATATAATAAATCTCCCTTGTCATTATTCTAGCTAATGACCTATTTGCCAGTCCCTTCTTTAAATTGCCTATTTTATTTTACTCTTAATGCTGGTGGGGGTCTGGGGCTCCCCATGAAATCTGTCTCTTGAACTTCATGTGCACAGTCTCAAACTCAACTTCCCAATATGTGCCAATCAGAGCTAGGCAGCTCACCACCCTAGTGACAATAACGTACCTCTCTTATTTCTGAATAGGGTATTAATGTGATGATCAGAATAGATTTTTTCCAAATAAGTCTTTTGAAATGATTATAAACAGTGTACTTAAGAGCCAAGCTGGTTTTTGAAGTTACCAAACAAACAAATAATAGAACACATAGATAAGCAAAAACTAATACCATCTGTGATATATGCAAGTCCCCTTTCCCACATGGGCAGGCATGTATAGACACCGACCCCAGCCCAGCCAGCCTACCCGAGGAGTCACTGTTGGATCCTGGGAATAAGAAAAATGACCTAGGCACCATCAGGGAAGCAGGCAAGTGAGCCAAGGGGAGCAGCCTGGGGTCACTCACATCTGAGGAGCCGCAGGTTGTTTTCCGGCCCAGGAAGACCTGTCAGCTTCCACTACCCAGGAGAAGGGAGGAATCTCCACATTCCTTCCTTAAAACCTGATGCCTGAATAATCAACTGTGAGGAGCTTAAGACTTTACTGGAACATTAAATGTATTTTTTATGAAATCTGTATACTGCCATAGTTACACAGTTTCTTAAAATTCTTTCTTTGAATGTTAGGTGTCTTGGCAATAATTTCCAAAGACACTACCTTTTAGTTATAAAAAAAGATATCGAGTCTGTGCTTTAATCAGAGCTCCCTGTGTTTAAACAGTGTGATCATAATGATCTTTTTTACCTACTTGTGTTTCACCACTTTCAATGGGAACGTCACAGGTGGATTTGGCCAATTGCTTAATGGGTTTCTACAAGTTTTAAAGACAAAGTTTTATGCATTTATATTCAACTTAATTATTTTGATGATTAAAAACCCAGGTAGATAGAGGAGATCCTATTTCGGATGAGGAATTTCAGCGACTTAAAACAGAAGTTAGCCAGAAACGGGTCATTCGCAATCGAGAAGAGGTGGGTAACTTTCCTTTATTTAGAATCTGATTATCGGCAGCTCTTTAGATGCCTATTTTTTTAATGCTAAACAATTTTATAGAAATCCTTTACCAAGAGATATTTAATACTTTTTAATTTGCATACATTTCAGAGTGTTTTTTACCATGTTCTTGCAAGTAAACCATCAAAACTTGTAATTCGTGTTTCTCTTGAAATGAGCAGCATTGCATACTTTGACCACTCGTTTTCATTCTTCTACTTTCTCATTTTGGGTCTCCTTCTTTGTTTCCCTTCATTCTCTAAGCCCCTGTCCGCAGGTCCTCAAGGTGGGTCCCTGGGCCTCTGTTCATTGTCTCCCGTCCCTTGGTAGAAAGGATACAAAATCAGAAGTAAGAAGCCAGAGTTCTAGTTCCAGCTCTATGACAGATAGGGGACCTTGGCAAGCTTCTTGACTGTGGTGACTTAGTGTGCTCAAATGTAAAATGAGTACAGTGGTCCCATCCACCTGATTATCTCTATCTTGTAATACTAGTTCATTTTTACACTGCTATGAAGAAATACCCAAGGCTTGATAATTTATAAAGGAAAGAGGCTTAATTAATTGCAGTTCTGAATGGCTGGAGAGGCCTCAGGAAACTTATAATCATGGCAGAAGAGGACATTCTTCTTTACATGATGGCAGGAATGAGAAGAATAAAAACCAACCCAAGAAAGAAGCCTCCTATAAAACCATTAGATCTTGTGAAAACTAACTCACTATCATGAGAACAGGAGATAGTAAGTTAGTGAGTCAGTTTTCACAAGATCTAATGGTTTTATAAGATGATTCCATTATCTCCACTTGGTCCCTCCCATGACATGTGGGCATTATGGGAACTACAATTCAAGATGAGATTTGGTTGGGGACAGAGCCAAACCATATCATTCCACCACTGGTCCTTCAAATCTCATGTCCTCACAGTTCAAAACACAATCATGTCCTTCCAGCAGTCCCCCAAAGTCTTAACTTATTCCAGCATTAACTTGGCCTCAGTCCAAAGTCTCGTCTGAGGCAAGGCAAGTCCCTTCAACCTATCAGCCTGTAAAATCAAAAGCAAGTTAGTTACTTCCTAGATACAATGGGGGTACAGGCAATGGGTAAATATACCCATTCCAAATGGGAGAAATTGGCCAAAACAAAGGGGCTACAGGCCCCATGCAAGTCAGAAATTCAAGAGGGCAGTCATTTAACTTAAAGATCCAAAACGATCTCCTTTGACTCCATGTCTCACATCCAGGTCATGCTGATGCACGAGGTGGGCAGGTGGGTCCCACAGCCTTGGGCTGCTTTGCTCCTGTGGCTTTGCAGGGTATAGCCTCCCTCCCAGCTACTTTCTCAGGCTGGCATTCAGTGTCTGTGGCTTTTCCAGGTGCTCAGTGCAAGCTGTCAGTAGATCTACCATTCTGGGATCTCGAGGGTGACAGCCCTCTTCTCACAGCTCCACTAGGCAGTGCCCCAGTGAGTACTCTGTGTAGGGGATCCAACCCTACATTTCCCTTTGTGCTGCTCTAGTAGAGGTTCTCCATGAGGGCTTCACCCCTGCACTGAAATTCTGCCTGGACATCCAAGCATTTCCTACATCCTCAGAAATTTAGGCAGAGTTTCCCAAACCTCACTTCTGGACTTTTGTGCACCCACAGGCTCAACACCATGTGAAAGCTGCCAAGGCTTGAGGCTTTCACCCTCTGCAACCATGGCCTCAGCTGTACATTGGCCCATTTTAGCTATGGCTGGGCCACAGGGCATTAAGTCCCAAGACTGCACAAAGCATCAAGGCCCGGGGTCTGGCCCACAAAACCGTATTTTCCTCCTAGGTCTCCAGACCTATAATGGGAGGGGCTGGTGTGAAGACTTCTGACATGCCCTGGAGACATTTTTCCCATTGTCTTGGCAATTAACATTGGTTCCTCATTAATGCAAATTTCTGCAGCCAGCTTGAATTTCTTCTCAGAAAATGGGTTGTTTTTTTTTAATATCACATTATCAGGCTGCAAATTTTTCAAACTTATATGCTTTGCTTCCCTTTTAAGCATAAGTTCCAATTCCAATTCCAATTCCTTGTGAATACATAAAACTGAATGCTTTTGACAGCACCCAAGTCACCTCTTGAACACTTCGCTATTTAGAAATTACTGCCAGATACCCTAAATCATCTCTCTCAAGTTCAAAGTTCCACAGATATCTAGGGCAGGGACAAAATGCCCCCAGTCTCTTTGCTAAAACAAAGCAAGAGTCACTTTCATTCTAGTTCCCAGCAAGTTCCTTATCTCTACCTGAGACCAGCTCAGTCTGAACTTCATTGTCCATATCACTATCAGCATTTTGGGCAAAGCCATTCAACAGGTCTTTAGAAAGTTCCAAAGTTTCTCACATTTTCCTGTCTTCTTCTGAGCCCTGCAAACTGTTCCAACCACCTCTGCCTGTTACCTGGTTCCAAAGTTCCTTCCACATTTTTTAGTATCTTTATGGTAGCACCCCACTCCTGGTACCAATTTACTGTATTACTTCATTTTTACTCTGCTATAACGAAATATCTAAGGCTGGGTACTTTATAAAGGAAAGAGGTTTAATTGTCTCACAGTTCCACATGGCCGGGAAGGCCTCAGGAAACTTACAATTACAGCAGAAAGGGATACAAACACATTCTTCTTCACATGGCTGCAGGAGTGAGAAGAATGAGAACCAAGCAAAGGGAGAAGCCCCTTACAAAAACCATCAGATCTCTTGAGAACTAACTCACTATTATGAGAACAGAATGAGGGAAACTGCCCCCATGATTCAATTATCTCTAGTCCCTCTCACAACACATGTTGATTATGAGAACTACAATTCAAGATGAGATTTGGGTGGGGACACAGCCAACCATATCACTTGTTAAAACCCTAACTTTTGATTTTAACAATGAAAAAATTCTTTCTAATCTCCCACTTCCATCATTCTCACTTTTCTCTGCTGGTTTTGCCATATCTGAATTATTTTTACCTCATTTATCCCTATCCTTCTCCTCATCACATTTCTTTTGGCCACAAAGTCTTGCCAATAGCTCTTCCATGGGCCATACCAGAGTCCATCCTTCTGGTATCTCCTATGACTAATCCAACAGATTTTTCTGTCTGTATGCCTGCTTCTCTTCTCTCTATTCTGCAGCTCATGGCATATGCCAAAGTAAGACTGATTCCCTTCTGATGGTTTTTTTTTATATCATTTCCTTATTCAAAAACCTACAGAGACTGAACCTCAAGCTCTGGCCAGCCTCACTATACCCCCAGGCTCTCTTTCCTCCTTATTCATTTACTAATTTAGACACATTGGTGCCCAGGACATGCAGGCACATGTGGGACAATACATGTGTCAGCACTAGGCATGCAGGACTGAGTAAAGCAGTCCTTCTTCCCAGCCAGGGGATCTCACAGCCCACACCTCTCAATTCTGGATGCACTGCCAGCACCATCACATGGGATTGGTGAGTTTATTATTTCTCAAGGTCACATGTGTTTGCTTGAGCATTCCTAACTAGACTGTAAGTTTCTTAAAACCCTAACCTTCCACTTTGTTGGCCTCCAACTCAAGAAGCATTCCTTATAATGCTGTGTACACTAAAAGTGCTTAATAAATAAATGCTCACTAAGTAATACAACAAATAAATAACAATTTGGGATGAAACTCTATTAAATGTTTATGACAGGAGTTAAAATTTAAATGTAAAATATGCCTATATTTTATATTCACAGAAAATCAAGGAATTTCATCCTAATTTTGATCCACTCATTAATAACACTTGGCTCAGCAGATCCAGGGCACAAAGACGCTTTCAACAAGTAGCACGCAAGGTAAGTCTCAACACCGGCTGGAAATGTTGATTTGTTTGCCTATCAGCATAAGGAAATCAAGCAATGGTGGTTTGATAACATTTTATTGAGATACAATTTACGCGCCATAAAATTTACCCTTGTAAAGTGTATAGTTCAGTCGTTTTTAGTATATTTGTAGAACTTGGCAGCCATCACCCCTATCTAATTTTAGAACATTTTTATCACCTCAAGAGGAAATTTGCTGCCCATTTTCAGGCACTCCCCACACCCTCCTGGCAACCAATAATTTACTTTCTGTCTCTATGGATTTACCTTTTCTAGGCATTTCATATAAATAGAATCATACAATATGCAGCCTTTTAAAAATTCAATTTTTAAATTTATAATTAACACATAATATTTGTACATATTTATGGGGCACAGTGTGATGTTTCAATGCATGTATATATTATATAAGGATCAAATCAAGAAAATTACCATATCCATCACCTTAAACATTCAATACATGGCTTTTGGTAACTGCTTCTTTCATCTAACTTATTTCCTAGGCTTGCACATGTTTTAGCATGTATTAATACTTCATTCCTTTTTAAGGCTGAGTAATATTCCATTGCATGGATAGACCGTATTTCTTTATCCATTCATCAGTTGATGAAAGTTTCAGTTGTTTTCACCTTTTGGCTATTATGAGTAACAATGGGATATTGATCAGTTACTTCTAGGGAGAACAATGGACAGTGCCTGAGAGATCATGCCTCTAGCATCCATGCTTAATGCCTACCTTTCAGAAGTGTCATCTCCTTCTGTGGCTTCCCCACTTCATACTGGTCCTCCAGTGGCTTCCTGTTAACAGGATAAAATGAAGACTTCTGATCCTCTCATGCCAGTAAACGGTGTCATGTGACCCCTGGTCTGGCTGCAGCCACACCTCTCTAGCTGTCCTTGTCCTCTCATGTCCCTGTCTGGTCTGCCACACAAGTTGTGCTCATTCCCTGCTACTATCCTGTGAATCTGCTCTCAGCTCTGACTACAGTGCCTCCCCAGCTCTGCACCATGGGCCCGCATTTGTCCTTGGGCCAGCCTGAGTCCACTTTTCCTGCAAGAGGCTGTCTTTGCACGCTTTAGTACTTAGGGATCTCTGTGGTGCCATGTGCTTCATATGCTGCCTGTAAGTCTCTCATCTCTGTCACTTGTGTGTGGCTTCCCTGGTGGGCAGGGCCACACCCAAAGCCAAGGATAGCAGTAGATAGAGCCTGGGCTGTGAAACAGACTGCCTGCACTAATTTCTGGTGCTGCTTCCTTGCACTTTCTGATCCTGGGCAAGTCACATAACTACAGTGCCTTAGTTTCCTCACCTGAATGCTCAGGAGAATAATGAGACCTGTCTCGCAGGGTTGTTGTGAGGATCAAATGAATCAATATGTTTAAGAGACTCCAGATGTTTGTGTTACAGCTTATCTTTCATGCAGTCTTCTCATCCTGGACTGGCAACAGTCTAGATAGAGGGAGGCAGAGCTCACTGCCTTAGGGACCTACTCACCAGCCTCCAAGTCCCCATGTCCCTGCTTATCCACCAGTCTCCAAGGCCCAAGAGCCAGTGTCCCTGGTGAGGCTTTCCCTGGGTGGTCTCTGCATATGTGCAAGCAGGGACCACCACAACAGGCTCAGGGCAGGGAGGACAGTGGTAAGAGCCAACGCAAAGCTGTGCTCCCCGGGAAAGCACAGCCATTGACAATAGGCAAAAGCAAGAGACTGGCCAGGCTGGCTTGTTGCTAATGGGACCATCTTGGTCCTTCTGCATCAAACCCTTCTTCCCGAAAAAGTGTGTCAGCAGTGATGGACTTTGTTCTGAGTGATGGCTCAGCCTGTTCCTCACATGCCACAGCAGGGCCTGTCAGTTCTATGTGCCAATGTGTACCCAGCCTGATGCCTCGCCTAATCTCCTCAACTGCAGCCACAGACCAGGCTCCCACCATCTCTCCCCTGGAGCATGGCCACAGGTCCCCCTACATTTAGTGCCACATGGCAGCCAGAGTTGTATTTGTAGAGCTAAAAGATGACAGTACCTCTCCCCTACTGAAACCCTCCAAAGATGTTCTGTAACAGTTAGAATAAAATACACAATTTTTATCAATGCTACCAGACCACAGGGATTTCTCTGTCCCTTAAACATGTCTCCTGTGTTCCGGCATCAGGACCTCTGTACTGGCTGTATCCTCTGCTCAGAAGTCTCTTGCCAACATCTTTCTGTTGTTGTCCTGTCATCATCCAAGCTCAGCAGAGGCCTTCCCTCATTATCCTTGCATAAGAGAGCCGGCCAGTCATGGCCTCAGGCACTTACCCTCTTATTTTCTTCAGGATTCTTATCATAGTTTTTTGTCTTGGTCTTTACTGTCATCCCACTCCGCCCCCTACACACACTTGGAATATCAGCTCTGTGAGGACATTTATTTGCTCCTCACCGTGTCTCCAGTGCCTTGCACAGGACAGGGCACTGAGTAGCGACTTTATGTGTTAAATGAGTCATTTACAGAATGGAAAACAACGTAAATTATGGAATAAACAATCCCTGCAGCTGCAGCTCTGGGCTCAGGTAGCATTCACCTGCAGCAGCAACTGCTCTGAAGGCAAAGCTCAGAGGTGCGTAGTTAGCATTGCCCGTAACCCACAGTGCTATTGCTACAGAATCACCCAAGCCGTTTGTCCTACAACTCTGAAAACAGCACAGTGATAGCATTACTATTCAGATACATCCAGAAGAAAGAACATAGAACCAGTCATTCTTTCCACACTGGAAATAGGAGAAAAATCAAGGCTCATAAATTGGGTGGGACACGGCCAGATGACAACTTGGTCTTTTTTGTAATCAGGCAAGTCAGTATTGCTCAGACCTTGAAGTCCCTGTGGCTACAGACTAGGGAGAGTAGCATGTCGTGCTCCCTGTGAATTCTGACTTAAGGTGGTGATCTCAGCTCTTAGTGTGGTTGGGTAAAGTGAATTAGGTTGAATGTCAAAATGAGCATGTGTTGATTAATAATCTGAAATCATTATTCGCTCCAATTTCAGGTCATGATTCAGGGACGATTATTCAATATGCTGAGTGCTGTTCGTGAAATGGACAAAGAGAGTGTCCTGAGAAAGATCGACCAAGCAAAACAATCAATGGCACAAGGTGAGGTATGGCTGCAAAGCACAGCGATGCCGAGACTGATCATACCTCTGAGCGTGAGCTCTCCTTAGGATGAAGTGAGCTCTATGCAAATACAAAATTTTCACCAGCACATGTATTAGTTTCCTGTCCCTGCTATAGCAAATCACCTGTGCCCTCTGCTTTCTCTTGTCACCAGAGACTAGGGTAGTTATGATTTATACTTGCTGATTGACTGGTTGAGCCTGGTATTTTCTCAACCTAGCATTTGCACATTAAGCCTTTGAAACTTAATGGCTTAAAACAACACAATTTATCATCTCACAGTTCTAGAGGTCAGAAGTCTAAAATCAAGGTGTTGGGAGGGCTGAGCTCTCCCCTGGGGGCTTCAGGGGAGCCCATGGCCTTGCCTTTTCCAGCTCCTGGCACCCACCTGCATTCCTTGTCTCATGGCCCCTTCCATGATCTCTTGCTTCTGTCCTCACAGCTCCTTATGTGATTCTGACCCTCCCCCCGTTCTTCTTATGCACACTGTGATTAGAGAAGGCCCACCTGTCTAGTGCAGAATAATCCCCCATCACAGGGCCCATCTGCAGAATGCCTTTTTACCATGGAAGGTGACACATTCACAGACTCCTGGGAATGGGATATAGACACCTCTGGGTGCCATTATTCAGCCTATCTCATGATATAAAATGAATCTCCATGCCAGGTTTGGCTGAACTACCTACCCAGTTGATAATGAACAAGGTCACCTGACCCCAAACCACGCTGGAATGTCTGTGAAATTTCGCTGTGGCTCGACCTCCTGTTTTGTGCCCTCTGCTTCCTCTTGCCACTAGAGACTAGGGTAGTCATCATTTATACTTGCTGATGAACCAGCTGAATTTGGTATTTTCTCAGCCTAGAATTTGCACATTAAGCCTCTTAATCTTGTATTGTCTTTGCTACTTATAGGAAATTTCGATGCTGGCCACTGAGGCCACCATAGCTCATGCCAGTAATCCCAGCACTTTGGGAGTCCAAGGTGGGAGGATCACTTGAGTCCAGGAGTTCGAGACAGGCCTGGGCAGCATAGAGACCCCTGGATAATTAAAAATTATCCAAGACTAGTGGCATATGCCTGTAGTCCCAGCTACTCAGGAAGCTGAGGTGGGAGGACCGGTTAAGCCCAGGAGTTCAAGGCTACAGTAAGCTATGGTCGCACCACTGCACTCAAGCCCAGGTAATAGAGCAAGACCCTGTCTCTCAAAAAACAAAGAAACAAAAAAAAGCAAAGAAATTCCAATCCTCTGATGCCCAGCTTGGCTGGGACTGTTGGAGACTCACCTTGGTAGCTTCTGGGACCCAAACACCATGTCACCATCTTCTTCCAATACATGTATTTTCAACCACAGTTTGTATGCCAGCCCTCAAGCAGCCTTGATCTTTCCAGACTTTTCCTCCCTTCCTGGCCTGAGCCTCAGAGCCGGGTTCAGGCTTCACCATCCTCCCTGGGCAGCAACCACACTCCCATCTGCTGCTCCACTGAGACCCAAATGTATATTTTGTTTTTCAAAACATTGTATAACATAATAATAATTCTCTTTCTTCGTCCTATATTATTTTTTATCTCTGGTGTTGAAGTTTCTAATAAAGAAACTTTTTTTTCTAAAAAACTGTAAAATTCACCTGTGAATTGTGTAGGGATGTATAGAAAATGTCTTCATTTACTTCTTTAATGTTTTTCTTTGCTTAATTCATCAGAGATATTTTAATGATGAATTATAATTTTTTTGGAAATAAAGGCAAAATCTTTTTAACTGGAAAAGAGGTTGAGGTAAGAAACCAAGGAAACACTAAAAGTGGAAATATACACATATATAAACACGCACACACCAACTAATTGGTATATGGCAAATATGCAAATACAGGTGGTGATTTCCCGTAAAAATACCTTTAGTACCCCCTAAAAGTGCTGGGGTTTTTTTTCCCATAGAGACAAATTTCTTCAAATTCTTCCTGCGGCGAATTCAGTCAGGATGATTATGCCACCCGGTTCTCTGTGTCACCCAAGGAGGTGCTGCCCTTCGCTTTCCCAGACTGCAGTCCACCCCAGGACTCCAAGGAGTTGGTAGGTGCTGTCAGGCTTGGGGGCGGGAAGTGGGCAGGATCATGCTCGTGTTGGGCAGGATACAAGGCAAGCCCTACCTCAGTCTCAATCCCTTCATCCTCCTCCCTGAGGCTCCAAAGGAAGACCAGGAAAGTACGACCAGTGGGAAACCCGGGATCATCTCTTGCCATCTGCCTTGCTCCTGATATACCTGCACAGAGCTCCCTTGTAACCTGATCTGGATCTTTCCCAGCCCGAAATCCAGCATGAGCACTGAACCCCTCCCCATCTCCCACCTAACTGCCCTGGAACTGGGCCTGAGTGCAGAAGGTCAGAGAGAGGAACCAACAGGGCCCCACCTGGCCCAGGGAGGCAGGCTCTGCTCAGCTGGGCCCTTCTGCTGCCTGGGCAGATGGTGGAAGTCGGGAACAGAGAAAGGCAACCCTCAAGTCTGGGTCTGACATCCTAAGAAGGGGCTGCGACCCCAGAAACTGAAATCTAACCCATCAGACTCACAATCCGCTTCTCCTCCCTTCTCTTTCTCTCTGGTGTGTGTGTGTGTGTGTGTGTGTGTGTGTCTTTCTTGGGGTAGCAGGGGGTATAATAGCTCATCCTTCTTCCCTTATGGGCCACAATGGCATATGATTAAAATTAACTGCATATTGTTAATTAACCTTATGTTGCATTTACCATACGTTAAGCTAGTGTCTTAAGTCCTTCAAGTGTGTCACCTCATTTAATCTTCAACAAATCTACGTGATAAGTTTATTATTTTACAGATGAGGAAACTGAAGCACGCATTCACATGGCCAGTAATAAAATGTTGCTCGAGTTCACATCGTTAGTAATAAAAATTATACTTAAATCAATATTGCAAGTGCATGTGCAAAATATTCTGTTAATTTCAAAGGATAAACTTGTCATTCTCATTCTAAAGTATTTATTAAGCATTGCAGGTAATCTACTCGAGAATTACAGGACTGAATTTAGAAATTCCTTCTGTTTTCTGCTTTTGATACTTGTGTGATTTAAAAGAGCAGAATAATTAGTTCCTAAGAAATAAAAAAAAAAACAGTGATTTTCAAGCAACAATAAATGTCTGACACTCGATAATTAATGGGGTGAAGAGGTTGATGGGGTGGCAAGGGATCCTCATTATGCAGTGGAGCCCCTCTCATTAATTTTTAATAGTTTGAAGGTGATACGTTTCATTCGATATTTTAGCTAGTGCTACAAAGACTTTTCTGCTGCTCAGGGTTGTTGAAAAATAGAGTGCTCAGCATTCCTGTCTATAAAAAAGAATCTATTAATTTATTTCATAAACACTGTGTTTCATCGGTTGTAACTTTTTTTATATATATTTATCATCCAGAAATTGGGAAATGGTGTCATTGTGACATGTTAACGTTTCATCATATTAATTTAGTGATGGTGTATTAGATTAGGAGATATATGCTATTTTTGGAGTGCCCATCATATTCAGGCACCATCCAGATTCTCCGGGTGTCTGAGGCAGACTACCATGCAGGAAGTGTATTTGGTAGTGCCTTGGGGGTTCACACCTGTGGAAGGCAAGCTGAGGGGACAGGATTGGGTGGAGTGAGAAGTAGGATTGGGGTCCGCCTCAACAAAGGCCTCAGCTGTGCCCATGAGAACTTAAGCTAGCATAGGGTGAGAGGTCACAGCATGTTTCCCATGGCTTCAACCCACCATGGAGGTGAGCTGCCTGGGAGGAGCACTTGATCCTGACTGAGCAGCTCCCTTCAGATGAGGCAGCTCCTGAAGAGGGCTCCCCTGCCCCGCAGAAGTGTTTCTGTCCCTAAACTCCTGGCAGCTGGGGGGCTGAGTCCTTTAAGCCTGAAGAAGCTTCTGGGTGACACACTGTAGTCTCCAGAACCGCAGAAAATGAAAAAGACTCACATCCACTAGGAACATGGAAGAGGGGGTGGCCAGGGCTGCCTTCCTGCCCTGCAGATCAAGTGGCAACTGTGGTCGCAGGAGGAGTTGCTCTGAGAGTAGAAGTGGTCATTTAATGTTTCGAAACGTAATGAAAACAAGCATAGCCACTCTTGCTCAGTGTTAAGTCTCTGTTCTTTTTTCTTCTTTCGCATTTTAGGCTCCTGATGGCCTTGGACTGGTCCCAATTAAGTCTTCAGAAGTTCAAATCAAGCAGAGTTATCCCTTCTTCAATCTGCAGGTCAGACCTGTCACATAGAGTTAATTGAGTTTCTTATTAAGTAAACAAAATATTCTCAAATTTAATTGCTGGCGTTTTCTAGTTTTGCTTTATTGTGGATGACACTGTGTAGCACACTCTGTTGTCATTGCATGGCATATGGTAGGTACAGCAGATTCTTTTCTCACAGTATGGCTTATGCAAACCAGGATAACTATTCTGTGGATATCCCTATGTCATGTATATATGAAGCTACCTGAACTATGTATATTAGAAACCTCAAGAAAAAAATATAAGATAAAGTGAGCAAAAATTAGTCAGCCTTTCTTGAGGTATATGACCACTTCTGGTTTTGAAACTGAAAATATTTTGGTGTACTTCTACACTTAAGCCATATGGTTTGGTTGAGTAATCACGAACACTCACATGTGCTGAAACCCAGAACAGGGCTCAGAACTTGCACTAAAGTCTGTCCAGTGCTGGTCCAAACTAACAACAGCCACAATTCGATGACTACAACGTGGTGCTTGTCTTACTTTTACCGCCAGGAAGCTCAGAAATGCTGTTGTTGAAAAGTAGATCCCACCAAATGGCAACCAGTTTTTAAGGATTTTCAATCTTCTTTCATCTCCAGGTTCCTCAACTGTACAAAATTAAAAGATATCAGCCGTTCTCTGTCCACAAGTCTTCAACAAGTTACAGACCTCAAAAGCTTGCCCGAGCCCTAAGGCAAGGAGCTGAGGTAACACATCCTCACCTTCCAGAATCGCTCTCATCTCTTCCCTCTTATCCTGGCATAAAAACTAACATCCTACCTTCGGCCCTTGTTAGGATGAAGTCACCACCATCATAGCCCTTCCAAAACAGGACTCTACATCTCAGCTCTCTGACAAGACCTCAATCTTGAGCATGAAGCCACCTGAGGCCTTAGCCACATCCCTAGATTATGATCCACTGTATGTTTTTGTAAGTGACAACTGGAAGAAGCCTTGTTTTCTGTGTTCCTTTATTTCAGCAATTACGCTATAGGAAACAGAGCATTCATTGGGAATATTTTTTTCTCTTTGGAATTTCAAGTGTTGAACAGTACCTGACCTTTAAAATTGCTTGCCAGCCTTTATTTATTGGAGAATATCAATGATTGTGCCTTTTAGCAATTCCTGCACCTTTAAGGAAAATAATTGTATGATCTTTTCCAAACATCTATACTGTGTACATATAGGCCAAAGAAGAAATTTAAAAAGAAATTACAAATTATTTTTAAGTGAATGAAAGTGAAAACAAACAAAAAATCTGTGGGAAATTTATAGCACGGCATATCTCAAAAACTTAAATATAGAACTGCCATATGATTCAGCAATCAGCTAGATGTGGTGGCACATGCCTATAGTCGTAGCTACTTGGGAGGCTGAGGCAGGAGGATCCCTTGAGCCCCGGAGTTCAAGGTGGCAGTAAGCTGTGAGTTCACCACTGCACTCCTGCCTGGGCAACAGAGTAAGATCCTATCTCAAATAATAGTAATATTAATAACAATAATAATGTGATCCAGCAATCCCACTTCTGGATATGTTTCCAGAACTATTAAAATCACGGCCAGGCATGGTGGTTCATGCCTGTAATCTCAACACTTTGGGAGGCCAAGGCAGGAGGATCATTGGAGCCCAGGAGTTTGAGACCAGCCTAGGCGACATAACAAGACCCTCTTTCTACAAAAAATTAGGCAGGTGTGATGGCACAAGCCTGTAGTCCCAGCTACTTGGGAGGCTGAGGTGGGAGGATCTTTTGGGCCCAGGAGGTCAAAGTTGCAGTGAGCTATGATGGTGCCACTGCACTCCAGCCTGGGTGACAGAACAAGACCCTGCTTCCACAGAAAAAAAAAAAAAAAAAAAAAAAGAGAGAGAGAGAGAGAGAGAGAAAGCAAGATATTAAAGAGATATTAACCCTCCTATGTTCATTGCAGTACCATTCACAATAGCTAAGATGTGGAAACAGTCTAAAAAGCTGTCAACAGCTGAATGGATGTACAGAAGTGGTGTGTTCAGACAGTGGAATACTATTCAGCCTTTAAAAAGAAGGAAATTATGTAGTTCGCAACAGCATTGATGAACCTTGAGGAGGTTATGCTGAGTTAAATAAGCCAGTTATAGAAAGACAGATATTGTATGATTTTGCTTATATGAGATATCTATAATAGCCAGATTGACAGAATCAAAAAGTGAGTGGTGGTTATCAGAGGCTGGGAGAAGGGGAAAATGGGGAGTTACTAGGCCACAGGCATAAAATTGCAGCCCAGAAAGATGAATACACTCTCACAATCTGTGGCACAACATGGCACTTACAGCCAATAATGCACATTTAAAAATTTGTTAAAAGGGTAGCTCTCATGGTAAGTGTTGTTACCACAATGTAATAATTTTTTAAAGACTTATCAGATCTCAATAATAAGAAAGCAAACAACCCAATTTTAAAATGGACAAAAGATTTGAACAGATACTACACCAAAGAAAGTATAGAGATGGCAAATATGCACATGAAAAATGCACAGAATAATTCATCATTGACACAATGCAAATTAAAACTGCAATATCTTTGTTAGAACACCTGCAATTTGAAAAACTGCTGGTGGGAATGTAAAATGGTACAACTACTTTGGAAAACCATTTGGCAGTTTCTTACAAAGTTAGTAGTTAACATACACCCACCATATGACTACCCATTCCATTCCTAGGTATTCACCCAAGATAAATGGAAGCATTAAACTTGTGCAAGAATATTCATAGCAGATTTATATGTTTCCCAAAATGGAAAATAAGTGTCTATTAGCAGGTTAATAGAAAAATTGTGGCAGAACCATACAATTGAATACTCTTCAGTAATAGAAAGGAATGAGCTCTTCATGTGTGTAAAAATGTGGACGATACTCAAAATAATTATTCTGGGTAAAAGAAATCAGACAAAAAAGATGCTGTTTTGTTCAATTTAGATAAAAGTCTAGAACAGGCGTCCCCAAACTACAGCCCATGCGGCCCCCTGAGGCCATTTATCCGGCCCCCCGCTGCACTTCAGGAAGGGGCACCTCTTTCATTGGTGGTCAGTGAGAGGAGCACAGTATGTGGCGGCCCTCCAACGGTCTGAGGGACAGTGAACTGGCCCCTGTGTAAAACGTTTGGGGATGCCTGATCTAGAACATCTAATGTAATCTACAGGGACAGAAAGATTGGTGGCTGCCTGTGGATGGGCTGGGTGGATGGGTGTGGAGGGGCAGGACCTGAGGATGGGGGAATGATGAAGAGCATGAAGTAATTCTTGAGGGTGTTGGAAATATTCATTATGTTTATGACAGCAATGGTTTTGCAGGTGTAACAAATGTTAAAACACATCAAACTATGTAATTTAAATATGTGTCACTTATTGTACATCAACTATACATCAATACAGCACTAAAAGTAAGAATTAGGAGACCCTAAGGAAAGAAAAGAAATACTGTAGTGGTTACAACCAGGGAGGCATTACAGTGAAGTCTTGGGCTTACCTCTGGGCATTCAGCCTGGAGGAGGGACGGTAAAGGGCTCTGGGAAAGAGCTGTCTGGGAAAGGGTAGGCTCCGAGCACTGACAGTACAGTTAAGAGGATGGAACGCTCAAGGATTGTATAAAGGCACATCGCGAAAAGAAGAAGCAATTATAAACTACAAGGGGGGAAGTCAACTGAGTATCAGTATGTGCTCCAAATAGAAAGCCAAACTAAAATTTGACATGATTTTTAAGAGCTGATGGAAGATCTAAAAATATAATCCATTTGGCCTTGATAGCAGAACACTTCTCTAACAGTGGCCCACAGGTCCTGATACTGAACCTTTAGCCAAAAAATAAACAAGTAAATAAACCAAACCCATAATTCGAGCCTCTGCGTGGGCTGGCGGAGAAACATATTTACATAGTTGAGAGAAAGTAAATGCTGCTTATTAGTTTTCAACTTTTGGAGAAAACCTGTGAGCAAAGCATGAATGACTTGGCTGTAGTTCTGGAAGGCAAATGTTAGGAATCTCAACAATATCAGAGGAAAATTGTGCAAGCAAGAAGGAAAGGTACAGGAAAGCAGAGGGATAATGTTTTCATTTCACCCGAAGGGAAGTTGAAATACTCAACAAAAGATGAACAAGTTATAGGAGTATGTGCGTATCATTTCGAGTCACAAGAGTGACCAACAGCAGAATCATCTTCAAAACAGGAAAGAAGTTTGGAAGGAGCATTTGTGTGCATAAGCAGGAAGGGCTCGCAGAAGACCACTGCTTTTCCTCACAAATCCTTGCAGCCTACGTGAGTCGCTACCATCTGCCTCGTTAGTTTAGGAAAATTAAAATTAAAAGCATCATAAGGTGACCACTCAGACCAGTTACTCTGGTAGCAATGGGGATCTGAAGGATGACAACTGTGGGAGACAGTGCTATTGCCATTTCCGAAAAGACTGCATTCGTTACACTTGGCCCAAGGCAGACCAAGAGAGCCAGCCACATGGCAACTTCACATGCCCTCAGTCAGCCAGAGTAGAAGACACTCCTGAAAGCCACACAGGTCATTTCCCCTCTCCTGGTGTTGTGTACCCTCACACTATCCCCTAGGGTGGGCCCAGCCCCACCCGCCATATCACTGCCTCCTTATATATGTTCCTAAATCCTGCCTCAACCACAAGTGCTTACCAAGGTGTATGCTTGTTTCCACATTACTGTAGGCATCGCAGACCCCTCAGTGGTCATTGTCGCCTTCCTGTCCTTCCCACTCCTTTATATCCAGGAGTTCAATCCAGAGCCAGCCGTCTTGACTCACCACCGCTGGGCCCTCCCCAAACTTGCATCTGGGTGCTGGAATGCGTTTCAGGTCCAGCTGCCTGTCGTTTAAGTTTTGGGGGGGCATTTGTTCCTTGGCAGTGAGATTGAGTTTCTATAAGCTAAGTAGATGTGGGGGCAGGGGGGTTACTTGTTAAAGAAAGTCATTACAAAGAAACAGCAGAATCTCATCTGAGATTAAACAGCTGGAGGGGGGCTATGTTGTTGTTTGGGACAAGAATAGGGTTTTTGGTGTACAAGCCCTTGAGAGAACAGTAAAAGGCTCTGTATTTTAGAATTTTGGTATAATTGCTCTGTGCCTCCATTAGTTCTGCTGGAAAATTAATAAAAAACAGGATCTCCCTTAAAACCAGATACAACTTCCAAATGGAGGCTTCCTGAACTAAACACATTACCAAAACAATGTTAATGTTGACATTTCCTGATCCATCAAATGTCATCCTCTTTTTTGTCATCTCTTTAAAGTACCTTTTAAAAGCCGATTTTTGCTTTCAAAACCAGAAGCTTATTTACTTTTTTAAACCAGTTTGCTTATTTAATGACTCCTCTAACTCATCAACATTAGAAACAAATACTGGAAGCTATTTTAAGCTTCGATTGTGCTTGTTTTCCTGTGAGTTTAGCAAACCCATATGGTATATAATGAAGCTCTTAAGCCAGAAAAGTGACATTTATGAATGACTATGATTTTTTAAACGCTGCCGACTTGAAGACACCTCTGCCTTCCTGCTTCTCTTTTCCAGACAAGCTGACATGGAGTCACAGAGTGTTCATGCTATTGGGAACCACAGACAGCATTAGGTGACACCTATCCTATGCCTGGCTTAGAAACTGGTAAACAAAAAAGAATATTTTTTTCCCTGTCTTCTGCAGAATCCCAACCCAGGATTATTTGCAGTAATGCATCCTCTGACCTACGCAGAAACGTTGATAGATTACCACCTATGCTCTCACCCCAAGTACAAATTCACCAAAGAGTCTCACCACGGGTCCAGCATCCCCGTCACCCAAAAGCAGTTTCTCCATCACACGGTAATGTCATCACCAGGTTAACTGGCCGAGTGGCCCTGGGATGCAGGGAGGGCAGGGGACAAGGACACGGTCACAGCCGGAATTGAGATAAAGGTTTGCCACCACAGCTGAAGAACAAGAATGGTAACACTGACCCTCATACTGCCAGCCCTAAAGGGGTACGGGTGAAGAATCCACACTGCCTTGTCCTGACCACGCGTGCCTCTCGGGCTCCTGCTGCCCTTTGTCAGCATTCCTCTGGAAGGCCGCACCCAATGTTCATGTGTTCCTATTTCAACCAGGTAAAAGCGGCCACATGGTAGGCGTGACCCCTTGGCCTGACCTCCTCTCTTTTTGGCCCCAAATGTAAAAACTAGAATGGACAAGGTGGTGGTGTGACACATACAAAGTGGCTGCAAAGAATTACTTCCCACCCCACCTCCCGGGGAATCACCCTGACCTCCAACACCCCTTATCCTCAGCCCCTTCAAACTCAGTCAACCCTTAACTTGGATTATGGTCTCCCTCCCCACTTCTACCAGCCACACCCTTAACTGCCTCCTCTTCCTGTGTCTCCTACTTGCCTTTCTGTTTTATGGACTTTGTACAGTTACCCATGAGACCCTTTCCCTCGTTCCCCTCATTTAACCACTCCTAGGGGCCTCCAGTCTGCACTGGCACAACAAACAGATTTGCAGACCTCCCTCCAGTCTAGCCCATCGCTGGCCGCTGCTGCAGTCAGCCCTCCCTCCAGAGAAATCTTCCTTAGGCACGAGTGGATCCTGTCCTTTCCAGCTCAAAAACCCTCCATGGGTCCCGCTGCCTGCAGCAGCAGCTCCAAGTTTCAGCAAAGCACATGGGGATTGCTGTGGAGGTCACAGTGAATAAGCCCCTTTTAAGACTGAAAAATAGTTGACTAAAACAAAAGTCCTTCTGAACGTTTGCCCCACCAAACAGTTGTTTCCCATGTCACACCCCTGTGCTGGCTTTTCTTGCAGGACATTATTCCCGGAATCATGCACTGGAAAAGCTTCCAGTCCCTGGTTCTCTCCTCCCTGCCGGACCCCTTCAAGAGAGAGACCACAAAGAGGTGAGCACGCTCGTCCATTTATTCACAAGTATGTGTGCCCCACAGATTATAAAAGCAATGATCCCCGAAAGTTAAATGCCAATAATATGCCAAACCATGCTTCTAAAGCATGAGGGAAGTCTGGTAGGCAGAGAAATGTGACGATGTGTAACTGATTTTTATATTTGGAATTTATCTTAATTGAGATACACTTTTTTGAAAAGTAATGTCCTAGGTGACTAACTGGCAATGCTTGAGTACAAGTAGACAGCCGATCCATGTAATTCAACCGAAGTATTCATGGTCAATCTTTTTTAAAGTCCATAAATTGACGCCTGCGTGACAGAGAGAGACTCCATCTCAAAAAAAAAAAAGAAAAATATGATAAATTGCCAAGATTAGCCTTCCACACCCTCTGTATCCAGTTCCAAAGGATCCACGGCCCTCTCATGCCACAGGCTGGCATTCCCTGTGAGCCCCACGGCCATCCCTACGCAGACACAGCCTTGCTCCAGATACACAGACAGCAGATCAGAATATTGTTGAATGATGAAAGAAGAAATTTAGAGTGACTACATTTTTGCTAATTTGCTTATATCTCTTCAAAACCTTAAGATACCAAACAAGTAGACTGGTGCCTTTTCGTTAGACTCTGTCTGGCCAGTCGCTCACTCCTGAGCCCTTGAATTTGCTTCTTCAGTCCACTGTCCTTATAAATACATCTAAGTGAGTGATTGGTGAGCAGACATGCCTGGTGTCCCAAAATGATTGTCATCAGCTGTCAAACAAAGTCCCGATCCTGTAATCCAGAATGAGGCCTACCCCAAGGTGGCAGAGGCCTGGCATGCCCCCAAGAGTGGCCAAGAAACCTAAGCTCTACCACCAATCAAGAGCAGCAGGTGATCTTTACACACCCCCAGCTCCCACTCGTGTAACCTGGATCCTCTGACTCAGAAACTCACCAGGGAGGCTACATGACCTCCGGGAGCCATGTGGCCTCAGCCACGCCCCTTGGCCAGCCTTTTGGGTCCAGTACTCTTGTCAGAAAGCCAAGGGGATTGGACTTGTTGCAAAGGCCCTTCTCAGCACTGACATTCTAATTTTAGTAGGAGTACAAGAGCTCACCCAACGTGCAGCCGTCCCATGTACACCACACATCCACCCACGCCTCCCCAGGGATTCAAGGAGATAGTTGGAATCGGGTTGCAACTCCAGAACACTGAATTTGACTTCCTCCTTCATCGTCTTCATTGACAGGCTTCATTGGAAAGCTCTTCCTGAACTAAGCCAAATGCAGCTGTCCGTCCAGGCTTTCCCGTGCGCCGTCCCCTTTGGGTCACTTCCTTAGGGCTTCTCTACTCCTCTCCTTTGCCTGAAGATTAAGATGCAGTAAACAGAGAGCAACCGGCATAGGATTTGGGACATGGCAGGAGCTCAAAAATATGATTCTTTCCAATTATTATACTTCATCCATTCCTCATCCACCCTGTTGCCATCCCAAAATCAGCATCCCTGTTCTACATTTTTAGCATATTTCTAGAATGCCAAATCTCCAGAACTGGCGAGAACAATGGCATCAAAGAAAGAAGGAAAGCTTTGGCATGGGAGAGACCTGCCTCCATTGTACACTGGCTGTATCACCAGCTCTGTCCTTGGGCGAGCTATGTACTAAAGAAGCCCTTCGAGCAATCGTCTCCTCCTCTCGGAGACAGAGGCAGTGATGGCATCCTCACATTTGTGTCTGTGTGAGGATGAAAGTGTAATGCTCCTGTGAAGCGTCTACCATCATCCCTGCTGCAGGCTTAGTAACTCCTCTCCTACCCTCCTTTGCCGCCCACTTAGCATCGCAGTCGCTCTGTCACCACCAGATGGCGACAGTCCATCACCACGTTGACAGACTGCCTCATTTTGCTGTGGGGTGAGAATACTTCAGAACTGATCTAGGCAGTCAGCAAATGGGGTTTGGGGGCTGAATAAGAAAAATGAGGAATGGTGAGAAGTAGCGACCTGCTGACCGTGTCTTGTCAGCATGTAGGCTTCTTAAGAATCAAGAAAAAGCATCCAATTTTCTTTCCAAAGCAATGAAAAAAAAAAAAAAAAAAAAACTCCCGAGGCTGTTCTTTCAACAAGCAGTCAGAACGCAGTTACCTTGGGCTTGAATACCATGAATTAAACATGTACTCTCCATGAATTAAAGAAAACTCTCAAACCATGAGTTGTTACTTTCAGCTTCTGTGCCTGAGTGCTCTGTTGGACCAGTTTGTTTCAAAATAAACTGCAGTTGCCTAACAGCTCATAAAATCAAGAGAGGATTCTGTATTTCCTTAGCATGGATTACCACTGGATGTAAGACTGTAGGTCTTGTTTTTATTTCTGAAAACAAGTACAAAATAAGAAGTGTAATTCATTTTTTTAAGTTCTGTCTTAGTTCGTTTGGGCAACTATAATAAAATGCCATAGATATAATTTATGAACAACAAACTTATTTCTCTCACAATTCTGGAGACTTTCCAATCCAGGAATGGCAGAAAGGGAAAGGGAGCTCTCAGGCTTTTTTTTTTTTTTTTTTAAGATGAGATATATTATCTTCCACACTGGAGTGCAGTAGCATAATTATAGCTTCCTGCAGCTTCAAACTCCTGGGTTCAAATGATTCTTCTTCCCCAAACCCCCAAGTAGCTGGATTACAGGTGTGCGTCACTATGCTCAGCTAATTTTATTTATTGTAAAGATAGGGTTTTGCTACGTTGTCCAGGCTGGTGTTCAACTCCTGGCCTCAAGCAATCCTCCCACCTCAGCCTCCCAAAGTGCTGGGATTACAGAAGTGAACAATGGCTCCCAGCTTTTCCTCTTTTATAGGCAGTAATGCTATTCATGGGGCCTCTACCCTTATGACCTAACCACCTCCCAAAGGCTCCACCTCCAAAAACCATCACATTCGGGGTTAGGTTCTTGGTATTTTTAATGTAAATAGGGATAGGGTCTTGCTATTTTGCCCTGGCTGATCTTAAATTCCTGGCCTCAACTGATCCTCCCACCTTGGCCTCCAAAAGTGTTAGGATTACAGGTATGAGCCACTGCACCTGGCCTGGAAGTTATGTTTCAACATGAATTTGGGGGCAACACAAAATTCAGCCCATAGCAACTTCCTACAAATGATATTCCAACTTTGCAGCCATGTTGCTTGAATAACTTAGCTCCTATTACTTATAAGGTTTCCCTTGTATCTTTGGCCCCTGACAATTGTTTGTTGTTAAACCCTGCAATACACTTATTTAGTGTTTATTTATTCCAAGCCAGTTTTGTATTTGTAATAACTGAAGCAGTTAATTTATTTCTTTGCTCTTCAGTAAATTCAGAAAGAATTCGTTAACTCTCTATGGACTTCCATAAAATCTGAGTGTCAGTGACAGCTGAAGCACTTATCTATACCAATAGTTTCCAGACTTTCTGATTTCATAGATGAGCAAAATGTCCAGAATAACTTTGGAAACTGCTTTGGGTTTTTCAGGGTTTTACTTTATCAAGTAAAGACATTAAAATTAAACAAAGCAACAGCCGGGCACAGTGGCTTATGCCTATAATCCCAGCACTTTGGGAGGCTGAGGCAGGAGGATCATTTGAGGTCAGGAGTTCAAGACCAGCCTAAGCAACATGGTGAAACCTCATCTCTACTAAAAATACAAAAATTAGCTAGGTATGATTGTGGGCACCTGTAATCCCAGCTACTCAGGAGATTGAGGCAGGAGAATCGATTCAACTCAGGAGGCAGAGGTTACAGTGAGCAGAGATTATGCCACTGAATTCCAGTCTAGGTAACAAAGTAAGACTCCATCTCAAAAGAAAATAATTAAAAATTTTAAAAATAAATAAAACAAAGTAAAACAAATTTTACAATGCCCAACCACCATCTACTGTCATCACCATTTCAATTTTAAATGAAAATATATTAACACACAAAAAAAGTGAGAGGAATATGATCTCAGAATTTTAAAAGTGGGTAAGTTTTGCTTCATGAAAAACTCCTGGTTGTGGCCATTCCATTGTCCTAGCCCAGCCTGGTCCCTGGCGAGTGGCCCAGACCCTGAACTGGTCAGTCCCTCTTCTTAGTGGGAATTCCCTCTTACGACACACGTTCTAATGTAAAGTTTGGTAGAATTTTCTAATAGAACCTAGATTATCTGTCATGAAGTCAGTTACTAATAGGACTAATCTCTGTCTTGGGGCCCAGCTTCCTTTTTGTGGAAAATGGGATTAAAGACCAAAATCTGGGTACTATGTGTACCCATTGCTACTGGGGAATGTTGTTTCTTGGCCTGTTCAGCAGACAAAGTCAGGGATACACACAAATACACACACACACAAAGAGTGTACACACAAAGATATAAGCAACATACATATATATGTAATGTATATGCATATAAACACACATATACTCATACATATCAATATTTTAGAAATCATGAATTCACACCAGTGCCTACAGTTCCAGTCCATATCCATGGAGTTATTGCTTGCTTTCTGCCATTCCATATTTGTATGCCCCTTATTCCACTGTGAGAACCGTGGCTTCTAATACATTTACTTACTCAATTTTATAATACATCAAAAATCATTTCAGAATTGATTGATCCATAGCCACCTTTATTAAACATGCAAAATAAGTTTGATTTGTTTGCAGGTCTCCCCTACCCGCTTCCACCCAAGTCTGTAGGTATGTAGTCAAATGCTGTAAGTTACTGGGTGATTTCTTTTTCTTTTCTCTCTTCTCACCCCTTTAGCACTCTCTCTCTCTCTCTCTCTCTCTCTCTCTCTCTCTCTCTCTCTCTCTCGTTTTTCTTTCCTTCCAATGTAATTATGGAATTTCTGTGAAATATTATTATTTATTTCATTTGTTTTCAGTCTCTGTTTTTTATTTCACTTTCTTATCAATTTAATTTTATTTTTTTAATGTGTTGAACATTAACATGTTTTCCAAACTCAAAACTACATAAAAGTCGTACTCAGAGAAGTGTCACTCCCTCCAGCCCCTGGCAGGTAGCCAGCTTGGTCTTCTAACATATCCTTCCTGTGTTTCTCTTTGTGATGGTAAGCAGAATATTTTTTTTTCTTATTTTCTCTTCTTTCTTATAAAAACAGTGGCATTCTAGATATGCTTTTCTGCATTTTTTTCAACTTAATAATATCTCCAGAAAGTCACTCTATATCAGCTCACAGATTCTTTCCTCATTCTTTTTTCCCATTAGTCAGAACGATGGTGCTATATATTTTTTTTTTCAGCCAGTCTTCATACTTGGCAAGCAGGTGCATTTTTGCACAATAACAAAACAAAGATAAGAATCTTATCTCAAAGACAAATGTGCACACACAAAGGAGCTGTCAGTTAATCCCTGCTTTCCATTCCTGCCTCCTGCCCTCCCTTCAGCCTCAGCCTTTCCAGCATCTGTGAGGAGGTCTGTTTCCTTCCAAATGTGCTCCAGGCTCTGTCGTTCTTCACTGTTTTTCATGAGACAGCATTCTCCAGGCTTCTAGAAATGTAGTCCAGAAAATGATTGAAAATTTTTATCCACTGATGTCTCTTCTCCTGTTCTCTTTGCTGATGTATGCTCAGTTTTTATTCCTTCTGTATCATCTGAAATGTGTGTGTGAAAGGAGTCGAGACCCCGGAAAAAGTGCTCATTCAATCCACTTGAAACAAAAGTCTGCTACCAAGTTTTAAAATAACAATATATTTTTTCACCCCATCTCAATTCCTTTAACATTCTCAATATCCAGGAATTTTTAAATAAAGCTCTAAAGTTACATTACTGAACAATGCATAGGAAGGTGGGGAGGAAAGATATGAAATGGAATAGAATGTCTAAGAAGGAATACAAAGGAGGGAGGAAAGTACTAGGACCAAAAGTAATTATCTGTATTAGCCTGTCCTTGCATTGCTATAAAGAAATACCTGAGACTGAGTAATTTATTTAAAAAAAAAAAGAGAGAGGTTTAATTGGCTCACGATTCCAAAGGCTGTACAGGAAGCATGGTGCCTTCTGCCTGGCTTCTGGGGAGGCCTCAGGAAACTTACATTCATGGCAGAAGGCAAAGCGGGAGTCAGCCCTCACATGGCCAGAGGAGAAGGAAGAGTGCAGGGGAGGAGCCACACACTTTTAAACAACCAGATCTCACGATAACTCACTCACTCACTGTCATGAGAACAACAGTGTCACAGCACCGAGGGGATGGTGCTAGCCCATTCCCGAGCACTCCAGCCCCATGATCCATTCACCTCCCACCAGGCCCCACCTCCAACACTGGGGATTAGCATTCGACAGGAGATTTGGTGGGAGCACAGATCCAAACCATATCAGTATCTAACTATACTCACCCCAGAAAATAATACAATTTTAGACACTACAAACTGAAAAATGCTATGATTCTCTTTTTAAACTCCAGGAAATGTCATACTTGGCAACATTCTCCCAGGTTTGACTGGGGCCTATTGCATCCCCTGCCTTTGCCTCTGGAAACCATAGATGGCTTTTCAAGAGTGAGGGAGAGAGTAGCAGAGGTCTCACCAGTGGTAAAATAAAAATGCTTTAGAAAATGATGTAAAGACCACAGGACTTCCATGTGATTCTCTGTCTTTGACTACTTGTGTGGTTTTTCCACAGCTGCGACTCCTTCAATTCATTTATGCTTCCGATAGAAGTCCCTGCCATTCTTGATGCCTTACCAGAAGAAGACAGACTAGAAACAGTTGAAAGGTATTTTTTTTAACCTTTGTCCTCTAATGTGGTCTGTTTTTCAAAAATATGTGAGGTACTGTAAACAACTTCAGAAGAGCTCAGAGTTCCTGAGCTTGCAACTTCAAACGAGAAGATAAAGCTAACGCCCATTCATACCTCCACCCAGGTAAGATGTTAAATTCATGGTGGAGAATTGACAGTCTCTAAACTCTACGACTTACTCATCTTCAGCTGTTCCAGGAACTCAAGGGAGAGGCGACCTGAGGTGGTGCTAAATGGCCTTAGAAGGCTTCAGTGGTCACATGGACTTGCGTTAGTATGTGAAAGATGGGTGGGACTTGAATGGGCATAAAGAAATCCAGTCCAGCAGCCTGGCTCACGGCTGTAATCCCAGCATTTTGGGAGGCTGAATCGGGCAGATCATGAGGTCAGGAGTTTGAGACTAGCCTGGCCAACATAGTGAAACCCTGTCTCTACTAAAATTACAAAAACAAGCTGGATATTATGGCATGCACCTGTAGTCCCAGCTACTCGGGAGGCTGAGGCAGGAGAATCACTTGAACCTGGGAAGCAGAGGTTGCAGTGAGCCGAGACCATGCCATTGCACTCCAGCCTGGGTGACAGAGTGATACTCAGTCTCAAAAAAAAAACAAGTCCAGAAGCAAGGCCCTTACATTTTATTTTACTGATCAGCATCCAACAGCCAACGAAAATGGTCTTGAATCTCCTGTCGCTATGATCATTTATACCTGATGGCTGCAGACCCAGCAGCAGAGCTACGAATGGGAAACCGGAGCCAGGCAGAGCCCATGTCCTTGTCCCAGGACAGCTTCTCCACCGCGAGCATCACAGCATGCAGCATTCACATGTCCAGCTCACACGTGTTTCCAGCTGGCTCACCTGGCATTGCCCCATTTGCAAATGACTCTAGATCTGAGTCATTACTTTCTCCTTTTTAAAAATATACTTAGCTACTTATTATATCACCACATAATTTCAGGAAGAAAATTAGAAGTTCCATATGTTTTAAAGCAGATACTTTCTACCAGGCAAAAGTAAAATTCATTTACGTTTTCTAGTTTAATTAACCAACGTAGAATAAAGTTGTATACAAACTCATCTCTCTTTAAAATTAGATTCCATTAGAAGACTATAGAGCACCCAAGATGTTGTATGGAATAGCGTGATGAAAGGCTAGGCGGTGGGTTCAACATCACCACCCCCAACCACTCACTCACAGTACACCTTGGGCAAGTGACTTCACCTCTCAGTGCTCCAGGGTCCTCATCTTCAAAACAGAATGATCCCAGGACCCATCTCATGGGTGGCTATGAAAAGCAAATGAATTAACACATGTCAAATGTTTAGTTCAGTGCCTCATACATAGTAAGGTTTTGATAATTAGATATACTACCATTAATGACCCTGGTATTCCATACCCCCAGCCCCGTATCTGACACTTGGTAGGCAAGCAACAGATCACTTTAGAATAAAGTTGTACCACCCAGTATAAGAATAAGTGAAGATACATGGTTAGATTTCCTAAAGAACAGAGGAAGACGTATTCATGTCCCAAGAGGTTTTCCTCCATCCATGTTATATCTCAAGTATAGAAGATGAACAAATATTTCTGATATTTTTAAATTTTGATTTTTCATGTCTTTGGGGGTGTAAAGGAATACTTGGATTTGCTGCTGTACCTGGGACAGCAGAGTCGGGGATTAGCACAAAGAGGATCACCAGCCCTGCATGACAGGAGCTCCGGCACGTTAGGAAGACTCGATCCCAGAGTTCCTCCCTTCCCACTATTTACTGAACTCCTATTACTGAAGACCCATTTCTTTAGCTTTGGGCTTTATTTCAAGTACCTCTGGGGAGGGAACATTCTGAGTCTCACTTATAACTCAGTATAAATTCACCGGAGCCTTTTGAGAGTTCAGCTTCAGGGGCAGTGGCAGGAGAGGTGATGGGAATGAGAAGACTCCTGGTCCAGTGGGGAGGCCCTGGAAAACACAAGGAAGGGACGGGTGAAAAGCTGGAAACACGAACAGCCAGCTAAGCTGCTTTAACAAAAGCCAGATGCTCCTGCGTGCTTCTGTTTGACTGGCGTGAAGTACTGGCATGAAAGCTCTGGACTCTGATCACTGTTCAGGCCAAGTGCACAGCTCTGTGCCTGCCTGATCATCCTGCATTTGGTTCTGACCCCTGTGCCGGTAGCAGTTACCTGGGATTGCGTTGCCTTGAAGTGAGTGGAGGCAGTGTTCTGAAGTATAACCATACTTCTGTGGCGAGACAGATGTCTTCATTTTTATTTGAGATGTGGCTCATGAATGAATTGTGCCTATACATGGTCTTTGCTTTCTCACTTTGCAAATGAAGCTCTCCGTATGTAACTCCTGTCACTTATCAAAATATTATAGAAACTACAGATGGTACCTGGTTTGACTTATGATTTTTCAACTTTACAGGAGCATGAAAGTGACTCTCATTCAGTATACTCCTCGACTTATAATGGGGTTCTGTCCAGATAAACCCATTATGAGTTGAAAATATCATGAGTCAAAAATGCACTTTCAACTTGTGATATTTTCAACTTATGATGAGTCCAATGAGATCTAACCTCATTGTAAGTCAGGGAGCATCCATATTTATCAATATATTTTTCTGACTGTTTCTTTGACATCTGCAAAGGGTCTTAGGTCTAGTTTAGTGAGACAGAACACAAAGACAGTAAATAAGGCAAAGCAGATGTATGACTCACAGATAGGCAGCAAGAATAAACAGAAGCCTTGGATCCGGGGTGAGCCCACCCACCGAGGCTTAGGAAAGGTACCCAGGGCAGGTGCAGTCTCATCTGCATGTGTCCCACATTGCATCACAGCTGAGGGACCCCAAAAGCGCTTTACTTTGGGTTTCATTCCCTGAGTGTCACAGGGATCGCTGAGCTTCAGCACTGCAGAACATTCTGTTCTGGGAGGAACAAGGACACAGCCGTGTCATTTATCTCAGGATGTTGCATTCTCAGTACGTCCTGTTCAAGAATTGCAAACCAGAGAGGGAACAGCTGGGTTGACCAAGGCCACCTGAGGACCTGGCCTCCCATGGCAACCCTGCCAATCTCCACTCCTTACCTCCATTGTTCAAAAATGTTTTCATTCTTAACATATCCAAACTTTTGCATTCTAAATTACACTGTAGCGTTGATAAAGCAAAGAAATCCTGATAACTCAAGCACTGATAGCAAATTATCACTGTCATGGTCAGACCAGCATCACTGCCAGCCTGCTTGTGATTGCAGGAAATGGTTTATTACACACCAGAATATGGCATCTTTCATACCAAATATACACAAAAATAACTATTTGTTGATTACTGTTTCTTCTATTTTTTCTTTTATAAACACATACTCTGTGGATAAAGTACATTTTTACAAGTGAGTAATCAATTAGTGGAATCTTAAATATGTGAGACCAATAAGACCTGCTTACATGCAGTGATACCTGACAACACCCGAGCTTCTAGACCTTGGACTCCAGATCTGAAAAGGAATGCTCAAGTGCCATCTACTCAATTCACTGCATGATGGCATCTCTCAAGAGTGCTGCAGCCAGGGTGGGGTGATCCACATTTGCTTCAGCTTCTTTCTGGTCAGGCCCACTGGGCAGATGTTCAGCAGATCCAAACATACCCAGCTCCTCTATTCAGCACTGATGTGCACACTATTTTGACTCAATTTCCTCGTCTTTGAAATGGGAATAGCCGTACCTACTTCATAGAGGGTTGTCAGAATTCAAGGAGATGCTGATGCTGATGAGGAGAATAGTCATTATAATAACTAACACCACTGAACATTAAATATGTGCCAGGGAGTACTTTGCAAACAGTCTCATTTAATCCTTATGATGAGGTCTTATTATTATGCCCACCTTTGAGAAAAGGAAACTGCTAATGGGAAGATAATGTTTGCAAAGCACCAGCATAGTGAATATTAGCTTTCAATCTAATGAGGCTAGAACAACTTTTGCAGATTTCAAGAGTATTTTTCTTAATAGAAAATTGCCATGCCCACCTCTTTTTACATTATATCTCTGCTGAGTGAAGTGCCCCTGTTTGTAATTACAGACTTTGAAGCATTTGTTGCCTTTTGTTGATCTTGGAAGCATTTCTGTAATTGAGTGTGGTGGAGATGGGTGCTGTCAAAAAATTTGTTTTCCTGTTCTTCCAAAGTCCTAGAATCAATTGAAACTAGAGGTTAAGTTTCCCAGCCTCCCTTGCAGTTAAGTTGTTCATTTTACTAAGTCTTTGCCAATGGAATGTTAACAGACAAGATATAGTCCACTACTGAGGATCAGCTCTTAACAGAGTGGGTATGCCTCCTGCACACCCTCCCTCCCAGCTTTGCTCTAGCGGAAAGCCAAACATGCAGTGGCCCAGCTGGAACCATCAAACAGCAAACTATGGCTCAGAGAAAAATGTGGCCAACCATCTACGTTTGTAAATAAAGTATTATTGCAACTGCAGCCACACCCATTCACTTATGTGTTTTTCTATGATTTCTCTATTGCTACAACAGCAAGAAAAAAATTATGTAATTGTAACAAAAACCATATCACCCATAAAGTCGATAGAAAAGTTTACTAACTCCTGCTCTAAGGGATAGCAGACCACAAAATGATTGAAGAAAAAAAAAAAAAACTAGACTATTTAGAAATATATTGTTTAATTTTAAAGCCATTGTGGGCTTTCTAGTTACCTTCTTTGCTATTGATTTCCATTCTAATTCCATCGTGGTTGGAGAACATATTCTGAATAATTTCAGTCTTTTGAAATCTTTCAGGCTTTCTTTTATAGCACAAGATATGGTCAGTTTTGGTAAATGCACCATGTGCACTGGAAAAGAATATGAATTCTGTAACCTCCGTTTTTTAAAATTACTATTTATTCTCTGGTTATAAATAACTACCATTGCGCCTACCATTGTTTGTTGGTGGAAAGCAATTTGTCAGTCTTATGCTTCTTTTAATGTAAACTACAAAACTTGAATACCACAAGAATTGCATAACTCCTAGATGATCATAGTATTTCATTCTGTTTTTACATTGGGAAGGAAAAGCAGGTCCCACTAAACATCTTATTACTTTGCAGTGAGCTCTGTGAGCAAAATATAGAAGTCGTGTTGACTCCAGAAATGATCAAAGTGGAATTTCCCATGTTGAACTGCAAGGACATCAGGAAGGAGAAGTAAGTGGATGCTTTTTTATGCTTTATTAAAAGGTAACCTCGGATGAAATTATTCTGCATAAAGTACAAAATTATCATGTAGTCTGAGTCTAAATAACTCAATCTTTGAAAGAGATACATTTCTGGTGCTTCATATATTTAGATGTGTATTTTATTTTAGGCACAAGTACACTCCCTGAAATCTTGTTAGCAAGGAAGCCTTTAAAAACTGAAATCAATTTTTCCATGTACTTATCAACCAATTTCAGGGATATATTTGTTTCTTATTAATAACTGATTGAGTTTCATTCAGTATAAGGAACTGGCCCTGGAGCCAGACCATCTGTAGCTTGCAATGTTTATCACATCTACAATCTCAAGCTAAGTTATTGTCCTTATCAACTCTGGACCTCAGTTTCCTCATCTGTAGCATGCAGAAAATAAAATCTCCTTGTCACAGGGCAAATGTAAAAATGAAATGAGATGCCAACCATGGAAGCACATAGCCAGTTGCGATGTGAACCAGAGCTCAGTAAATGTTCTCTCCTCCTCTCCATGAGGGGCTGACGAGCCAAGCAAGCATCATCCTTTGAAAAATTAATTTCAAAAGCACAGTAAGAAGCATATATAAAATGTGTTCATCTTCATTGTAATGAAAGAAATCAAAACTAAAACAAAAAAATGGTTTTGAAGAATATTTTTTAATGTAAATAGTCACCTATAGTTCATATGGTTTATAACTTTGAAATTCCATGTATAAACTTTATTTTTATTCTTTTTCTTTGAAAAGTGTCTTTATATTATTTTAAAAATTAGAAACAATCCTACTACCCAAAGGCAGTAACATGCATTTTGATGTATGGTCTTCCAAAAATATAGATATATATTTATATGTATATATTATATTATGCATGTATTTATATTTTTAACCATGTATATGGTTTAAATATATGGTTAAATATATAAAAATATATTTATAATATTAAATATATATAGTTAAATATATTTTTCCATATATACAGAAATCATCATACATGGTTGAAAATATAAATATATATGGTTTTAACAAAATTCAATCATATTATACATATTGTTTTCTCTTCTGCACTTGTATTTAACAATTTATCATAAGCACATACTATAAATATACATATAAATTATTATATTTCCCTAAGTGGATGTACCATAATTTATTTAACCAAGAATCTGAAAATGAACATGTAAACTCTTTGCAGTGTTTTCTGTTATCAATAGCGTTGCAACAAACATCCTTGTACCATAATTCCTTGAAAACTTACCAGACTGCTTCCTGAGGATAAATTCTAGATCAATGCACATTTTAAAGTTTTCATATATATATGGTTCAATGACCATCCAGACATTGTATTACCATCTCTTCTACTAGTAGAGGTTAGAACCGCTTGCATTCAAATGCCCTGGACAACATAGAATAGTGTCATATTTATTTTCATCTTTATCAGTGAGGCAGAACTTTTTTTTAAATATATATATTTTATTGCACTTTAGGTTCTGGGGTACATGTGAAGAACATGCAGGATTGTTGCATAGGTGCATACATGGCAATGTGGTTTGCTGCCTCCATCCCCATCACCTATATAAGGCATTTCTCCCCACGCTATCTCTCCCCAACTCCCTTCCCCACTGCTGTCCCTCCCCTAGACCCCCTCCAACAGACCCCAGTGTGTGATGCTCCCTCCCTGTGTCCATGTGGTCTTATTGTTCAACACCCGCCTATGAGTAAGAACATGCAGAGTTTGATTTTCTGTTCTTGTGTCAGTTTGCTGAGAATGATGGTTTCCAATTTCATCCATGTCCCTACAAAGGACACGAACTCATCATTTTTTATGGCTGCATAGTATTCCATGGTGTATATGTGCCACATTTTCTTTGTCCAGTCTATCATTGATGGGCATTTGGGTTGGTTCCAGGTCTTTGCTATTGTAAATAGTGCCACAATGAATATATGTGTGCATGTGTCTTTATAATAGAATGATTTCTAATCCTTTGGATATATACCCAGTAATGGGATTGCTGGTTCAAATGGAATTTATATTTCTAGGTCCTTGAGGAATCACCACACTGTCTTCCACAATGGTTGAACTAATTTACGCTCCCACCAATAGTGTAAAAGTGTTCCTATTTCTCCACATCCTCTCCAGCATCTGTTGTCTCCAGATTTTTTAATGATCTCCTATATGTATCCTTGCACACCAATGGGTTTTGACTTTTTATCCAATTTGCCAGTCTGTGTCTTTTGATTGGGGCATTTAGCCCATTTACACATGTGTGAATTTGATACTGCCATTTTGATGCTAGCTGGTTGTTTTGCCCATTAGTTGACGCAGTTTCTTCATTGTGCTGATGCTCTTTACCATTTGGCATGTTTTTGGAGTAGCTGGTACTGGTTGTTCCTTTCTATGTTTGGTGCTTCTTTCAGGAGCTCTTGTAAAGCAGGCCTGGTGGTGATGAAATCTCTCAGTAATTGCTTATTCGTAAAGGATTTTATTTCTCCTTCACTTAGAGCTTAGTTTGGCTGGATATGAAATTCTAGTTTGAAAGTTCTTTTCTTTAAGGATGTTGAATATTGGTCCCCACTCTCTTCTGGCTTGTAGAGTTTCTGCTGAGAGATCCACTGTGAGTCTGATGGGCTTCCCTTTGTGGGTAACCTGACCTTTCTCTCTGGCTGCCCTTTGCATTTTTTCCTTCATTTTGACCCTGGTGAATCTGACGATTATGTGCCTTGGGGTCACTCTCCTTGAGGAATATCTTTGTGGTGTTCTCTGCATTTCCTGGACTTGAATGTTGGCCTGCCTTGGTAGGTTGGGGGAAGTTATCCTGGATAATATCCTGAAGAGTGTTTTCCAGCTTGGATCATTCTCTCCATCACATTCAGGTACACCTATCAAATGTAGATTAGGTCTACTCACATACTCCCACATTTCTTGGAGGCTTTGTTCATTTCTTTTTACTCTTTTTTCTCTAATCTTGCCTTCTCATTTTATTTCATTGAGTTGATCTTCAATCTCTGATATCCTTTCTTCTGCTTGGTCGATTTGGCTATTGAAACTTGTGTATGCTTCTCAAAGTTTTTGTGTTGTATTTTTCAGCTCCATCAGTTTATTTATATTCTTTTCTAAGCTGTTTATTCTCGTTAACATTTCATCAAGCCTTTTTTCAAGGTTCTTAGTTTCTTTGCATTGTGTTAGAACATGTTCTCTCAGCTCAGAGAGGTTTGTTATTACCCACTTTCTGAAGCCTGTTTCTGTCAATTCATCAGACTTATTCTCCATCCAGCCTTGTTCCCTTGCTGGTGAGGAGTTGTGATCCCTTGGAGGAGGAGAGGCGTTCTGGTTTTGGGTGTTTTCATCCTTTTTGTGCTAGTTTCTTCTCATCTTTGTGAATTTATCTACGTGTGGTCTTTATAGTTGGCGACTTTCAGATGGGGTCTCTGAGTGGATGTCCTTTTTGTTGATGATGAAGTTATTTCTTTCTGTTTTTTAGTTTTCCTTCTAACAGTCAGGCCCCTCTGCTTTAGGACTGCTGGAGGTCCACTCCAGACCCTGCTTGCCTGGAGTTCACCTGTGGTGACTGAAGAACAGTAAGGGTTGCTGCCAGTTTCTTCTTCTGTTATCTTTGTCCCTGAAGGATACCCACCAGATGTCAGCCTGGGTTCTCCTTTATGAGGTGTCTCTTTGGATATACAGGGGTCAGGGAACTCCTTGAGGAGGCAATCTGTCCTTTATAGGAGCTCAAGTGCTGAGCTATGAGCTCCATTGTTCTGTTCAGAGCTGTGGGGCAGGTAGTTTAAGTCTGCTGCAGTGGAGCTGATAACCACCTTTTTTTTCCCAGTTGCTCTCTCCTGGGAAGGTGGGGCTTTATTTATAAGTTCCTGATGTGCTGCTGCCCATCAAGGAGGTAGCCTAGTCACAGTCTGCCAGCAGAGGCATTGCTGAGCTGCCGTGGGCTCTGCCCAGATGCCGTGTGAACTTCCTTGCAGTTTTGTTTATAGAGGTATAGTTAGAACTCCCTCAGTAATGGCGGTCTGCCTCAGTAATGGCAGACTGTCTCTGTAATGGTGGACTGCCTCGGTAATGGTGGACTGCCTCAGTAATGGCAGACTGACTTGGTAGTGGTGGACTGCCTCGGTGATGGTGGATGCCCTCCCCCCCACAAAGCTGTACTGTCCCAGGTCCAGCTGTGCTTGCTGTGAAACACTCAATCCAGAGTGTTTCAGATTGCTGGTCTTTGTGAGAGTGGGACCCACCAAGCCAGATCACCTGGCTCCCTATTTCAACCCCCTTTTTCAGTTAAATGGGTGACTCTGTCTCCCAGGCATTCCAGGCACCAGCTGAAACAGCACCCAGATTTGTGTGAGTTCTTGTGCAGAGACCCGCTGCACCAGCTGAAACAGCTGTGCTGGAGACTTGCGGCACTTTTCCTCCCAGGAATCTCCTAGTCTGTGGGCAGTAAAAAGGAAATGCGGTGATCACGCACCCTCTGTGTTCTCGCTGGGAACTGCACTCCAGAGCTGTTCCTATTCGGCCATCTTTGAGGCAGAACTTTTTTAAAGACCATCTCGTTATTTTACTTTTAATTTCTTTGTTTAAAATTTATACTAAAAAATCTGTAAATGCTTCTCTTCTTTGAAGAGGGACTTTTTTGGCCTATTTTGCCTGTATTTCTTCCTTATTTGTAAGCGTCTCTTATTTATTAATGATAATTACCCTTTCTTATATATGTTGCAAATTTGTTTCATCAGTTTGTCTTCTACTTTGTTGTGGGGGTGGCTGCCTTTTCAGAAATGAATGCTCACATTTCTTAGAGCAGTAAGACGTCTTTCTGGTTTGTCTGTGATAGTTTCAGAGACCTGCAGCAGCCAACACTGCTCAGAAAATAGACTGGCAGTTTCTAGTAAAAGAAAATGTAGGAAACAAAATTTTAAGTAGAATTCCAGTAAGCCTCTGTTTTGATCAGTTAATTAACTCAATGGAATATTGTGTTATACTACTCAGCACATAAAACCTCTTGCACCTCAACACAGATGCCCTTTGTGTCCTGCTTCAAGTTTCAAATAACTGACCAAGGTTTTTAAATGATTAATTTAAATATTACCTCTGGACATAGACTGGCTTGCCCCAGGAGCAAGGTAATATTCAATAGCTATCTACTCACTTGCTCTTTTACATGAGTCTTCACTCCTTATACCATGGAGCTAATGTTGAATGGCATTTGGTTATCAAATTATTATGAAATGAAATAGAATGTATCACTTTACATATTCACCCAAAGTGGTATATCATTTTTTACATATTTTTAGTACTTTACAGAAAAAGAAACTAACAATGAACTGTAAATTTTCTGCACACCAAGTCAGCTTCTAATTTTTTCAAAAAATATGTATACATTTCACACATTTGCAATAATTGGCATTTTTAATTTACCTCTTTTGGAGGTAAAATTATTTTATGTGCATTTTTTATGCATCAAAATTGTCAACATAATTGTCATTTTATTGGCTGCATAGTATTTCAGCAAGTTGATATTCCACAGACCATTTTCAAAAGTGATTCGGTTCAGAAACTCTCTTCAGCTTATATCCAGCCTAATCCTGTGCTCAGTTTTTTCCTCCTCTTTGTTCTTAGTTTTTCCCTTCCTCACCTCCTTCTCTCAGCCGGAAGCCAACAGAGTCCTCCCTGCCAGACACACACGTGCCCAGAGCCTGGACAGACAGGGACAGAACAAAAAGAATACATTAACAGTGTCCCATTTCCACATGAAGACCGTTCTTTATTTGGTGTCTGGCCAACATTTATTTTCATGGATGCAAAGAATCATCTGCTCTCACTCAATGACTGAAATTAACCAGAGAGATTCTTTGCTGCCTGGACAGCAGTCTGGGCCCTCTCAAGACCCACAGGTGAATCACATTCCCCATAAAATGTTCAAGGAACTGTGAGACGGTGACTTCAGTTGCTGACACATCATTCAGCACTCCTTAGATCAACACGATGTTACTCAATCATCATTATATGTAAGGGGAGACAGGATCTACATATTTTTAAACATGATTCCATAAAATGATACCAACTAATTTCTTTAATTATGTGCATTAGGGAACATTCTAATTCTCCACTTTCGGGTATTTCTAGTTTTCCAAGACTGTCGGGCATTGGCCAGACATGTCACACTCTTTAGAAAATGTCTCAGAAGCACTTTATTTTATATTGGATTCTTCTATTGCTCAAGCAGATCATATAGCTGAGTTCACAATCTTTGAACAAGACATCTGTCCTTTCAACTGAAACATTCATCATTTCCTCGCAGATATCTGGATGCTGGTGAGCACCAGGACAGCCTCTGAGCCCGGTCTCCATCTGCATCCTAACCCTTAGCCCTGGCCCACCAAGAGGCAAACTGGCCCCTAAGAAGCCCAAGTCCTCCTCATCTCTCAGCTCTCTGTCTACCCCCACTGCACCCCTCAATTGATAGCCTCATTTTACACCACATCCAGTCAAAGTTCTACCCAGCAACCCCGGCCACACCAACATCAGCCTTGGCTCCATGTCAGCCACTACTTGGTCCAGGGGCACAACCCTCCCTTTCGGTGCCCACTCTTCTGAAGCCATTGCCAGAGTCAGAAACAGTGTGTATCTACCTCATTCATAAAGATGGAAAACCAGCCAGCACGGACTGAGCACTCAGAAGACCTCATACTAGGATCTCTGTAAATAAGGTCTCATCTCACCTCCGCTACAGTGCTGTGAGATGGGAATTACACCATTCGTACTTAAGGAAACAGGGGCTCTCAATGCTTAGGTAACTTGCCCGTACTCAGAAACTGATGCAGCTGAGACCAGAAGCCAGGTCTGAATCATTCATAAGCTGAGTGCTTTCTCTGGTAACTAGACCATCACTAAATGTGGTGAAAACCTTCTTTATATATTAAAGAAAACGCTCCTCTGACCTTCACCAGCAGTGCTCAGAGGGTGACTTGCATGGTATTATTAAGTGTCCTCATGTTTCTTTGTTGGGTTTTTTTGATACTCAGAGAAGTGAAAGATCAAGCACAACCAGCAGAGAAGGCAGGAGAGAAGGTGCTCGAGGAGATGAAGAATCTGCGGGGCAAAGCTCTCAACACATACCTGATTCTAGAATGAAAGTCACCAGTAGGTCAGTCCCTTCCATTTGCTTTCTGCAGGCCTCTGTGGCCCCTTGCGTCCATTTACATGGCAGTCATCTCTGCAATTAAAGTTTCTAGAGAAAACAATGAAATATAGAGGATGTATATATCTTTTAAGTGATCATTATAAAACTTATATTTAAAAATAAAATGGCGTTAGGATGATGACAGCGTTGTTAGCTTCTTGGTATGGAGTTTAGTGCCGGAATGCTTCTCAGCAAGGCATGATGAGAGGCTAAGACCCAGGCACTGACAGCTGCTTCTGAGGGTGTTTTGGAGGTGTGGTGGGAGAGTGGCTTTGGGGAAGGGATGCCATCCCACCTCTGCAGAAGCAGCCCCTTTCATCCCCTGGGCACCACGAGATTTGGCTTTGGAAGGGCAGCACTGGTATGAACACTGGCTCTCCAAGTAGCTGTGCAGGTGGCAGATGCTGGCAGGGGGCCTGGACCTGTAACGGGCACTGCAAAGTGACTAGAGCTTGCAGACCAGTTTCCCAGGAGGATACTTTCCTCCTGGGAATTCACAGAAGCACCTGGAGCAGGAGGGCATTGCAAAGGAGCCATGCGTTCCAGTTAACACGTGTCAGTAAAAACCAGGCCTCGGCTGTGTCTGTGAACATGACTGCTTTTATATTGACAGGCCAGGAAGGCTGATGACATTGGGTTGTGTTATAATAATCCATAATTATTCAAATATATTTGGATGGATTCCCTACACTCATTTTTTTATGAACACATTTAAATAGCTGGTATCAGATTGTATGTTTGTAGTCTTCATTAACTCATTGGTTCTGATGTTTTTCTAGAATTTGTTATTTCGTCATAAAATCTAAACTCTTTAGGGACAAGAAACCCTATTTGAGGTAGGTCTTCACATTCTTTAAACAAGTAAATGTTAAAGACCATTTCCTTGTCATTCAATACAATAGGTAAACAAGTGAGCCTGGGTCTCTGAAACCCATTTTTACAGCATTTGTCTTGGACAGTGTCCTAGTCTAGGTGCAGAAGAGGAGTTTTCATGACTCAGTTATGCACTGAGTCTCTGGAAAATGCCCTGGGGTTGGGGGAGGGGGACACCAACGGTACAAGCAGAGCCCGGTAGCCACTGGGTTGCCAAATAAAACACAGGATGCCCAGTTAAAGTGGAATTTCAGATATGCAGCAAATAACATGTTCTTGTATGTCCCAATCGTATATGTACTATATGGAACATGTGGCACTACAAACTTAGTCATCGCTTCTCTGAAATTCACATTGGACTGGGCATCCTACATCGTCATTGGCTGAAGCTGGCAACCCTGCTCAACACTCAGTGGTGTTTGAGAGACAACGTGTGAATGAATGATGGAAGGCCGGAATGATGGAATAAGGTAGGAGCCACAGTTAACACAAGATTTGTGGGTAAGGCACCAGGCAAGCTTGCGGATCACTAGAAGCATGATTTGTTTTTCCTGGGAGTCTACCAAGTAGCAGACCCTCTGTGGACTAGAATGAAGGCTGCTCCTCCAAGTCTTCTTGCCCTTCCCTGAAAGAGACACTGTGAGTCCTGTGTGACAGCGGAAACCCCAGGGATAGAAGTTATGTGACTCCTGAGCTGGCGAAGACCCTGACACTTGTGTGACTTCAAGGCCTGGAAAGAATCCAAGGGACCCTGCGCTCCCAGGACACAGAGCTAGTTGGTAGTGCTGGGCAAATGGGCTTGGGCTAGTGACAGGGACACTGCCTGCTACAGCTTGAGGACAGCAGAGTTCTCATTCCAGAGTCACCCACAGCGGCCTCTGTGTTTTCTTTCTCTGCTTCCTACCTTCCTCTTCCTCCCCCTCCTCTTTCTGCTCCTCCTCCTCCTTCCCCTTGCCCTCCTCCTTTTCTAAACTACCAATTGGCCCACATCATCAGCTTTGGGGATAAAATAAGATTGCATTAATTTAATACTCAAAGTTCACAATTTGTCTCATCTCACTTTTGACAAAAATAGCATGCTTACCTTCCACAAGTTGCTTTTCCTTCCAGGAGAAGTCCAGGCACCACAAGGGAGTCTTACTTGTCCCAAGAGACTGGTTCTGATGACCATGAAGGAGCTGTGGGCCTTTGGTTGTGGTTGCTGCCGTGGCACAGTGGTATCCCTGCAGGCTGGCACCCGATGGGCATGCACTCGCTGTGGGGACTGAGATTCATGCCACCATGGCTGGCTGGACAGTGGTACAGAGGGAAGGAGCCACCACTCCATGTTGGTGCAGGCCTAGGAGGTGGCACATGTGCATACACCCACACACGCACACACACATGTGCACACACGCACACACATATGCACACATATGCGCACACACATATGCACACACATGCACACAAAATTCTTAAGAGTTGTTGAGTACCACTCAGGAGCCAGCCACAGATCCAAGTCTCAGAGGGGCCACTACCCTAAGTCGGCCCCGTGGCAAAGCAGACACACCATCCACAGGAAACAGACATGCATGAATAGCGTAATGTCAGGTTGTGAGCACTGCCACAAAAGAATACTCAAGCGTGGCCTTTGAATCCCAGGCCTGCTGTTACTCACTAGGTGGCCTTCTAAACACTTCCGAATTTCATTTTTCCCTCATGCAAAGACAAGCTTCCGTGCTCTCCTTACATGGGGTTGTGAGGATTCAATTAGGAAATGTACAGAAGTATACCTGGTGTAAAATGAGCTCAAACATGAGAGTTTCCCTTCACTCACAGGCCAGGCCCTAAGCATCAGTCATTTTTTTTTTAAAAAAAACTTTTTATTTAGAAATAATCTTAAACTAAAGGAAACTTGCAGAAATAGAACAGAAAGTTGCCATTTATATTTTATTCAGGTTCTTCTAACATTAGAATCTCCTGTGAAACAATGAGCAGAAACAGGAAATTATGACTGGTACAGCTCTACTGAGTAATGTCCCTTCAGTGTTCCAGGAGTCCACACTGCAGTTAGTCAGTGTGTCCCCTTCTTCTCCTGATCTGTGACCGTCCGTCAGTCTTTTCTCTTATATGTGACCCTGACAGGTTTGACAGTTATTCTGTAGACTGTGCCTCCGTGTGTGATTGTCTAATGCTTTCCCAAGACTAGGGTGAGGTTATGCCACGTTTCTCCACTGGAACATTAATATAGTCATGGGGAGAGACTTTGAAATTATGCCAACATCCTATTTCTCCTCAACGTTTTTCCCACTCCGTATCTACATAGCTGTATATGAACTCCCACTTCAGCGTCCACCAGTGAGTGGGTCTGGTCTGCAACAGCCATTACCATGTCTGCTTAATGCGAATGTCCATGAGCTGTCCCCGCCTCATGTAGTTACCTTCTTTCTTCAGTAGGGTTTTATATTAGCGTGGAATCATGGACATTTATTTCATTGCACAGGTTATAACTCAACACTACCATTGTTTATTTTGTTACTCATACTGTTCCAGCTCTGGCCAGTGGGAGCCCCTCAGGTTACGCCTCTGACATTTCAGTGCATCCTCCACCTTTTCTAAGCATATCTTTAGTTTCCAGCATCACAGGCTATTCCAGACTCATCTGTATCTTTCCCACCTCAGCCCTGGAATCAACCATTTCTCCAAGGAGCCCTGGTTCCTTTCCTTGGAGAATGGCACTTAAAAACCAAGACCTCCGACTGCAACTGGTACTTGACGCTACTGAGATCCAGCTGCTTCTGAGCCCTCTCAGTGGCCAGAGCTGGGAAATACAAGCATTTGTACTGACACACACATGCATTTTCATCTATCTTTATGTCTGTATATAAATTTAAAAAACATGAATTATGGCCGGACGTGGTGGCTCACAGCTGTAGCGCCAGCACTTTGGAAGGCTGAGGTGAGCAGGTCACTTGAGCCTAGGCATTTGAGACCAGCCTGGGCAACATGGTGAAACCCCATCTCTACTAAAAATACAAAAATATAAAAAATATAGCCGGGCATGATGGCACACACCTATAGTCCCAGCTGCCTGTGAGATGGAGGCAGAAAGATCACCAGAGCCCAGGAAGTCAAGGCTGCTGTGAGACATGATCATGCTACTGCACTCCAGCCTGGGTGACAGAGTGAGACCCTGTGTCAAAAAAAAAAACACCAAAACATTGATTCTGAGGCCTCGGATTCCAGCCCAGCACCTGGGGTTTCTTTTGGCCTTCCTCCTTTCCTTACTTGTAACTTCTTTCCCCTACAGTGAGAAACTTAGCCCCCATCCTCGACAATGTATTACCTTATGTGTTCAATCTTGGTGTATCCATAAAGTAATATCCCATTTGCTAACACATCTCCTTGCAAGAAACACATTTACTAACTGGATTACAGTATTAGTGTCTTTTTTTTTACTTTAGCTTTACAGAGTCCAGTTAAAATACTGGTTTCCAAATTTGCCTGGGCTGGTTCTGCTGCTTTTTGTCTCCTGCTCCCGTCTGTGTGGTTGTGTTTTCACATGGGTTAGGTTCATGGGTTACTGTTTGTATTCCATTCTGGGTTCCCCTTCATCCTAGTTGGGTTTAATTATTTATTTTAGGGTACACGGACCATGACTATGGCTCTAAATGCAAAGGTACTCAGAGAGTATCATTCCTTCCCATTCCCAATCTGTCTCCGTTCCACCATCTTCCTGCCCCATGGATACCCACTCCTCCCCCACCATGAGTAACCACGTCTTTGGTTTCTGGTTTATCTGTCTTGCAGGTATTTTTAAGGCCCCCTACCAAGGGCTCCCATGTGCTTCCCCCTGCATTCCTCCTCCACATGCACCAGTTGCTGGCCTAGCCTACCAGCAGTTTCTGAAGCATAACCCACTCACTCACACCCCCGGGCCTCTGCATGTGCTATTTACTCCCTATGACCCCACCACCTTCTTTCCTTAGTGTCCTTCTCACCTAAGGTTTTCCCAGGCCTCTGCCCCTTGGCTCCTGTACTGAGCACTGAGGCAAGGTCTTCCAAGTCCCTGCCTCCGTGGAGAGGAAGGGCTCAGGCAAAGTTTGTTCAGGGAATTGCTTTCCTGGGCGCCCAGGTTTAACACCAGGCTGTGCACATTGCTTCATTCATCAACACCCCACCAGCAGCTGCTGAACCCCTGGTAATTCCACCCACCCAATCTCCCTTTCTTGCTGGGCACCCCACATTGCACTGTTGTTGTGAACTTCCTGGGTCCAGACTTTAGGACTG